TGAACCCTGCCAATGGTAAAAAGCCAGAGTATTGAGTGTGAACCAGTTTAAGAGACTGAGAAGGAAATACTCATGAAGTAGGAGGAAAACAAGAAAAATGAAACCTGGAAGCCAAGTAAAGAAACGTTTTTAGGAGGAGAAAGTGATCGGCTGTACCATGATGCTGATAGGTCAAGTAATATGAATACTGAAAATTAACTTCTGCGCTTTTCAATGTGGTGGCCATTCAGTGACCTTGACAACAGCAGTCAGTGGAGTAGGAAGGACAGAAGAGAAGGGGAAGGAAAAGAATTACTTTCCTTCATTTAACAATTTATTTTAAATAACAAAATGAATTAACAAATACAACTAGATATTTTAAATGAATATAATTACAATTTTTGGGAAAACTGTTTGCTAAATACAACGAATATATTAATACATTTAGGTATTTTAATGAAAGATTTGGTATATTCCTATGTAAGACAGCTGACAGAAACAAGAAGTTCCTCTCAGCCGGCTCGGTGGCTCAGCCTGTAATCCTGTGCTTTGGGAGGCTGAGGTGAGTGGATTGCCTGAGTCCGTGGGTTCAAGACCCACCTGGGCAACTTGGTGAGACCTCATCCCTACAATAAATCAAAAAAATTAGCCAGGCGTGGTAGCGCGCACCTGTAGTTCCAGCTTGGAAGGCTGAGGCAGAAGGATCGCCAGAGCCCAGCAGGTCGAGGCTGCATTGGCCAGGAGCGGCCACTGCACTCCAGTCTGGGTGACAGAGTGAGACTCCAACTCAAAAAAAAAGAAGTTCCTCTCTAAGGTTTTAAGGTTTTATCATTTTTTAAGTTTATTATTTTCTATTTTTTCCACAATAGCCAAAATGATCAAACTTAGCATCATTAATAGTAGGACAAGCTGATGTTATTGAAATAGCTCTAAAATTTATCTCCTTTATTTGCATTAGATTACATTGTACATTGATAGTGTTTCTAATGTTGGGCCATTTTTTCATTCTTAGGAAAAATCCTACTTAGTTACATAAGATTTTATCATTACTGTTACTGTTTTTGTTTTGTGCTTTTTAAAAATAGTTGCTATATCCCATTTTATTTTAGAATAAGATTGATTTTGTAATTGTCTTATATTGTCAATGTCCTTTTGGTGTCAAGGTTATATTAACCTAATAAAGCAAATTGAGTAGTTTTATCTCTATTCCTATTTTCTTGAACAATTGGCATGTGAGAAGATTATCTGTTCCTTGAAGATCCAGAAAAGCCACCTTTGAAAGTATCTAGGCTTGGTGTCTCTTTCAAGAAGGGGACACTAAATTACCAATTTAATTTCTTTTCTTTTTTTTTTTGGAGTTGGAGTTTCACTCTGTCGCCCCGATTGGAGTGCAATGGTATGCTCCTGGCCACTGCAGCCTCAACCTGCTGGGCTCCGGTGATCCTTCCACCTCAGCCTTCCAAGTAGCCAGAACTACAGGCGTGCGCTACCATGCCCAACTGATTTCTGATTTATTGTAGAGACGAGGGCTTGCCAAATTGCCCAGGTGGGTCTCGAACCCGCAGGCTCAGGCAATCCACTCGCCTCAGCCTCCCAAAGTGCTGGGATTTCAGACTGAGCCACCAAGCCCAGCCTACCAATTTAATTTCTTTAGCAGTTACTGATTTATGTAACTTTTCTATTTCTTGTCAGTTTTGTAATTCTTTTTTCTCTCCGGAAGCGTATTCATTTTATGTGTTTTCATATATATTGATATTTATAAGTTTATTATGACTTATAAAATCTTTTTTATTCTTCAAAATCTTTTATTGATTAGCTTTGCTATATTTTGTCTTTTTTTTTAACTAGGTTTCTAAAAGAATCAACTTTTTTATTCTCTCTTTCGTTTATCAGTTTCATTGAAGCAATTAATTTTATTTCCTTTCTTCTGCTTAAAACTTTTACTCTAAGATTTATCTCCTTATTCTGTTTTACTCTGTTTTAGATTTACTCTGTTTTCTAAATCAAAATGCTTCATATTGCATTATATCCAGAGACAAATAATATCAGTTTGTACCAGTATTAATGATGTTAAATTTGATCATTTTGGCTCAAGTGGTAACTGCTAGTTCTCTTTATAAAGGGATGTAGGGTTTGGTACTGTGTGAATGTTGTATTACCCAACATTCTTTCACCTGGAGTTTAACAGCCATTGATAATCTTTAATCAGTTGTTTCATTGGGGATTGTGAAGTGATTATTTTCTAATTACATTATTCTGTCTACATTTATTAGCTGGGATGATTCAATAAAGAAGTTGTTCATTTTTTATTGATCTTGTTCTCTCTTTTGATTTTTGTTTGGTGTAGATTTTTGCTTTTTTTTCAGTTACTGTGAATTTTTCCCATTGTATTCCAATCGATTATTCATTATTCTTTTTGCTGTTCACATTGTAGCAAGTAGGAATGCCTTCAGATTGGCTCTTGTGTCCTTGGGCATGTCTTCATTAAGCTTTGAGTACCTCTATACTTTCTGGCACAAGATCTCCCAAGTCTATTCTCTATTCCCCTTGCCCCAGGCTTGGACTTAGCCATTTGTTAATGGTACCATCTTGACTAAAAGGCTATCCCGTGTCTTTCTAGTTTGCCCTTCTTCTGTCTGTAGAGTTCTGCATTTTTGCCATAATAAAGTTACTCCATTCTCCTATTTTATAACAGTTTTCATTGTTAAAATGGTTTTGTGGTGTGCCACTTGGGAGTGGGAATGGATGCTTCTTTTTTCTACTAATGGAGTAATACCGTTCATGTAAACTTCTTAAAATTTAAAAGGAAAGCCATCCTTACTTCAGCTCTGTTAGCTAGTATATGCCCTTGAAACAAGTATTAAGATACTTGGCTAAAATGGATAGCTTTAGCTATGTACCCTAATGCTAATGCCAGCTAGAATTGAAATGAAAACTTAAAACCATCAGTGGATATTCTTGGGACAGAACAAAAAACAAAAGCAAGTTCATAAAGAACTTTATGAATATTATATTTTATGACTATTATATAAAATCTGTATTTCTTTGGGAATTCCTTTTGAGGAATTATTTAGTAAGTTCTTGAATCCTACTTACATTTCATTAAGGCAGTCAAAAACCCTATTGCTTTCAGAGTTAATTTTGGTTCAGGTAAGCTCATTTTATTCAGGATTTGTGGCACAGAAGAAAATTAATCAGGAAAGTGAAGTATAGATTTAACTAAGAGGACTAGTATTGGGCCCAACTCTGTTGCCTTTAGCTTTGTGGTAGCCATGGCTCTCAGTTAAAACAAGTATTTATAGGAAATAAAACCCAGCTCCATGACCTGCTGTAAGCACCAGGCTGCTTGAGAGAGGTATTTCTCACAGCTATCCTGACTCTCTTTTAAAAGTTTTCATAGGGTATACAGAACAGACAAGCCTACATCTAGAAATGAAAAGGCAGCTCCTATTGCTTTATTATATATTATAGTTTCAGATTTCTATTAATCTTCTGACTTATAATTTAATGTTTATTTTGGTTGATATGAAAGGATTATTGATATGCCTGTTATGCCTCACTACTCTAAAGATCATGCATAGATTTTTTCAGAATGCTTCAAAAATGAATGAAAAATCAACATATAAGCCTCCAGTATTTGGTCTTCAAATAATTACTCAAAAAATTAGCTATATGGGGCGTAGTAGCACACACCTCTAGTCCCAGCCATTTGGAAGGCTGAGTCAGGAGGATTGCTTGAGTCCAGGATTTTAAGACCAGCCTGAGCAACATACTGAGACCTTGTCTCTTAGGGGGAAAAAAAAAATTATTACTATATGGTTGGAAATAGAGGCTGAATGACTGAGACTACCATAACTACCAGTATTGCTATTAATAATTTGAATTTAATTCAAATCATAACACATCCCAAAATGCCTTAAAAGGAAGCATTTGTGAAAGTGATTATTTTCCATTTAATTTGAGTTGTTTTCCTATTATCTTTAATTTTAGATTGTAAGCTCTTTGTAACATAAACTATATTTATAACTTGCATTCTCTTCAACGTTGATAAAGTATCATGGACATCCTTGTGCAATAAATATTTTCCAGCTGTTGGAAATCCTTACCAAAAACTTAGTGCTGTCTTTGGCAAGAATTTCTGTACAGTTGTCATCTTTGGCAGAGCGCCAAAGTTGAAAACCTTGGCCAGAATTATTTTGCCTAAACAAGGCAAATTCCAGGGAGTGTTGAATTATTGAACACTTTTTAAATTTGGCAACTAAGTTTTTGCCTTATCCAAATTTTAATGATTTATATGATATTTGTTTGCCAGACTAAAGCTCTCAGCTTATTAGATACTCCTAGTAAGACAGTGAGTGCTTATTTATCTCTATTCATGTTCATTGATTTTTCCATTGTTCTTGTCCATAAAATGAATATATTATTTTTCCTTAAACTGAAGCTTTGTTTTATAAGTCATTAACTCACTTTTTGATGTGATAAACTGTTCTGTTTTAGGGGTTACTTATCCCCACAAGAGAAGAAAGTTATGGTTAATGAAGTAGGAAAAATGTATTAACTCTGACTGGGAATAAAGTAATTGTGAACATTTTTTAGTAAAGATGATGTCTTCCTATTCTTTTGATATTTCCTTCCCTTTAGGAGGTACTTCACTACTTATAAAATTGAAGACTTTTTTTCTGCCTGTCTTTCCTGACTATTAAATACATAAAAATGCATGGAATTGTCTTTTCTCCTTAATTTTATATAAATCTTTCCCATAGTATTTCTGAACATCTGTTTAAAATAATAGTATAGCCATCAGTTGTATACCTTATTTTCTTTGTTTGCATTTTTTAAATGAAGAGTTTTTTATGCGCTTAAGAAAGAACAATTAAAATCTGCAAAATGCATATTATTTTATAGGTGTTGACCTAACATTGTAACTCTTGCATGAAACAGAAATAAGAATTCTCTCTAAAAAGTAAAAGTTTTTCTCCCTAGTTTGAAATATTTTAATCATACCAATAAAACTTTTTCAGGATCTTCTGCCTGTTAAACAAGAAAACGAAAAATCTCTCCCAGAAAACATGGATGCCTTTGAAAAAGTGAGAGCAAAATTGGAAACACAACCACAAGAAGAATATGAAATCATCAATGCAGAGGTAGGTTAGCTCATATCTTTAAAAAAAAAAATTGGTATTACCAATCAAGATGCAAATGAGATGCTTTGTGATTTATAGACATAATCCTACATCAAAATTATATTGCTGTTGGCCTTTAAAATATGCTGAAAAACTTTAAAGTATAAAGAATATGCAGTGTGTGATCCTTAAAATAAGTTTAGGGATCAAAAACTAAAATGAATTTCCAAGTTTAATATATTAGTTCTGGTTTTGGGGAATAACCATTTATGATTTAAAGTTTTGTTAAGGCAGTTTTTCTTTCTTGAAAAACTTGCCCATGGCAGGTCTTTCTGCCATGAATCTTCTTTTTCCCTTCTCTTCTTCCCACCAATAAACTCTGCAATTTAAAACTTCAAAAATAAATAAATTAATACAAATTTATTAAATGATTCCAAGGAAAAGTTCAAATGAAGCTAACACATATTTCTTTATTTGGAAAACATTTGATTGCTCTGTCTACATTTTTTTTTTTTTTTTTTGAGTTGGAGTCTCACTTTTATTGCCCAGGCTGGAGTGCACTGGCATGCTCACGGCCATGGCAGCCTCAACCTGCTGGGCTTATGTGATCCTTCTGCCTCAGCCTTGCAGGTAGCTGGAATTATGGACACACACCACCATGCCTGGCTAGTTTTTGTGCTTTGTTGTAGAGACGAGATCTCACCAAGTTGCCCAGGCAGGTCTCAAACCCTCAGACTCAGGCAGTCCTCTCGCCTCGGCTTCCCTAAGTGCTGGGATAAAAAGAATTCACCTTAAGTAGTGTAATACCATGGTAGTCAAGTATCTGTTTTATATTTATAAATATTCAATTGAAATGGATTCAACATACATGTTGAAGATTTTTCAATAAGGTTGGAAAATAGAACTACAAATTATAAGTGAAAATCACATACATAGTAGAATGGAAGTAGCAGTAGATTAAAAATCAGGAGCTCCAGATTCAAATTATACCACTACCTAGCAGATAATTAATGTGTCTTAAGCCACTAAAATGATATCACTTAATAGTCACATTTAATATATAGATGTTGGACAAGAGCACTAGTCATCTATTGGTGATATTCATTGTCTTAACAGAGGATGAGACACTTTGTGTAAAATCAAATCAAGTCTGTGTACGGTTGATAGTGACAGCATATTTTAAAGGAAAGAATCGCAGTTACTGACTGAGTTTTCAGGCTAGCCTGTGTCACAGTTTCCTCATCTGTATCACTTTGGATTTCCTTAAAGATGCCACTTGATTTCTGTTAACTGAATTCCAATACATAGGTGTCAGATGTTTCCAAAATATAGTTGAAGTGGTTTGGACAGTCATGAGAACTGTACACCTTTTGTTACACCTTTTCTTTATTGCCTCCTGCATTTATTTATTACAAACCTCTCCAGTGATTATGAATATATGAAAACCGAATCTTGCCAATGATATTGCAAAAAGTGGTCCATTTTGTATTTCATATTTATTTACTCATATACTTCCGATTTGCTTTTTATAAGAGATTTCATTTCTTCTTTATCTTGAATAGTCATACCATTACAAGTTTAAGTTATTATTTAATAAATCATTTCTTTATTTTTGTTGTCAGATTAAACATGGTGGTTTCGTTTATTATCAAGAAGGTTGCTGTTTGGTTCGTTCCAAAGATGAAGAAGGTACACCAAGTTTTTCCTTTGAACATGCTCTTATGTTTAGATTTCTCATTATTAATTTTTCAAAGGTATGGAAAATACTTACTTGAAGATTATTCCTGAATTTTTATTTTTTTAATATCTAGGTGTGTGTGATATATAGTTAAGAGCTTGGTGGGGAAATGTAGATGGGACCTAGCATTTTTTTAGCATCTGCTGTGTCTCAGGCACTATGCTAGGCACTTTACATATATTATTCAATGTCATTTATATTCTTTTGCTTTCTAGGTTCTATGTGGTTTATATGATTCAAAGTAGACTATAGCAGTATTTAATAATATCTCATAGGTTGGTGCATAGAATAATAATGAATAGCAAATTGATAATATTAAATAACTGATGCCAGTTTATGTGTAAGTCAATCACCATTCATTGTTGAATGAAGCCAAAATATGACCTCTTATAGAATAGGAATGCTAATTTAAAACATTGAAAGACAGCTTACATTTCATTGAAATATAAGTACATCTTGTGGAATTATTGCTTTTATATTTTTCTTTATGCAGCAGACAATGATAATTATGAAGTTTTATTCAATTTGGAGAAACTTAAATTAGACCAGCCCTTCATTGATTGTATCAGAGTTGCTCCGGATGAAAAATATGTGGCTGCCAAGATAAGAACCGAGGATTCTGAAGCATCTACCTGTGTAGTTGTGAAGCTCTGTGATCAACCTGTAATGGAGGCTTCTTTTCCAAATGTGTCTAGTTTTGGTAAGCTACCAACCAAAAAAGTTTTCTGTGTCGAAAAGGCAACAACAGTATAAGAGAATCACCTATACTTTTGAATTTTTTTTTTTTTTGCCTTTGCAAATGAAGGAAAAGATGAGTGTCTGATCCATTTATACCTGTGTAATTCCAATGGGCTTCCAGAGACCTTCCCTTCTTTAATTATTTATCTCAATAGATAATTCTGAAATAATTGCTCATGTTTTAAAAGAGTTATAGTCAGTGTCCAAGTTGTACAGTGTATTTTGATGTATCAGCAATTCTTTCCCAACTTATTTAGAATAAATTTTTGTACATAGGTTGTATCTTAACACTTAATTCAACTTTAAACTTGAATATGCTTTCTTAAATTTCATGTTATCTTATAGAGCTATTATAGCAAATTGCCCAAAGTAATTACCAAGGAACTCTGGATTGTTCAACTAACTTACTCATCAGTGGAAGTGGTAACATTTTAAATAATAGAATTAATTTTAAATTTTATTATTTATTGAGTGATATATATGTTCATAATTTGTCCTCTCTTTACATTTTCTGTCCTTATTTTCTCCATTGTTTAGCTAAATGCTTTTGCAGTGCATTTAAACTAAACCCTAAATAATGAACTCCGAGACATGCATTTTGTCCATTTTAATCTCTAAAATCAGGTTGCATATTATACAATGGCAACTTACAATCACTGTCAGCCAGGTGGCAGTCATGATGTAATTGTGTACAAACTTCCATTGATAGTTTCTGGTGTGATCAAGAACCAGCTTTAAAATGTATTTAGTCATTGGAGATACCCTGTGGCTTGTAAGCAGACTGAAAAAATTTAGGCATGAGAGAAAGATTCAGTATTTTTTCAGACTTAAAGTTTCAAGTTGTGGATTTGCACATAATTCATCTCTTGAAAGCAAATGTGACTTTACCAATGTGTCTCTTATATATTGAACATTTAGCTCTTGTTTGGAAACTTGAGTAATCTGAGACTGATAACTACTTGAAAACTGGGAACTGTTGTAATAGTGTTTTATTCTCTGAGAAACTATCTGACTTGCATTTAACACAGGTTAGGTACTGTCAAAACTATGATCAATTTCCTGGGATACACTTGCATATCTCTTCTCTTTGGCACTCAAAGTTAGAACATGATGTGTCTTTTTGTTAACTGTATGTAGGTGATTGTGTGTAATTCTTTCCTTACTTTATTTCAGAATGGGTAAAGGATGAAGAAGATGAAGATGTTTTGTTCTACACCTTCCAGAGGAACCTTCGCTGTCATGACGTATATCGAGCAACTTTTGGTGATAACAAACGTAATGAACGTTTTTACACAGAAAAAGACCCAAGGTACTAGAATGATGCAATTAAATTTTTCTCAAGAATATTTCTCCAGTTTTTAAAGTGCTGACCTTGGTGAACTTAAAATGTTAATAATGATTGGAACCAAGTATAATGAGGCTAAGATGGTCATCCCTTAATTAGTTGTTTGTGTTCAAAATTAGATTACAGGTATGAGGATGGTCTAATATTAAATTTTTTAATTGCTTTTCTTTGAGCCATGATACCCATTGGTCTTTACAATTTACTTTTCCCAGTATTTTGGTAGCTCTCTCTTAAAACTAATTCTCTCTAATTCCTTATAATCTGTAGGACTCATGTCTTATATTACCACTTAACCAGGCTTGGGAGGAAATGATAGGAAATTTGTGTGGCAAAATCCCTTGACACTTACTGAGATATGCTTTTCCAAGTGTTTTATGAAAAACCCTAATACCAGTGTCCTATCACGTTATACGTCATTTAGCTGTATAGTTGGGATGATGTCTGAATAAATTTTGTAGAAAAAATGGAATTAACTCCATAACTGTGATAGTGAAGTTGATACCCAAAACAAGAAAACTAATATTTTATGAAAATCTGAGAAATGAAAAATACCTTAAAGAAAATCTTGAGGCCATATGCAGTAGCTTGTACCTGTAATCTCAGCAATTTGGGATGCCAAGGCAGTAGTTTGAGACCAGCCTGGGCAACATAGCAAGACCCCGTCTCTATAAAAAAAATCAAAAAATTAGCCAGGTGTGGTGGTGCATGCCTATAATCCCAGTTATTCAGGAGGCTGAGGTAGGAGGATCTCTTGAGCCCAGCCGGTCAAGGCTGCAGTGAATCATGATCATGCCATTGTACTCCAGCCTGGGTGACAGAGTGAGACCCCAACTCAAAAAAAAAAAAAAGAAAATCTTGTACAATCTTCAGTTTATATTAAGAAAGAAGGCCTGAAGAAATGACATTATTTCAGTCCATAGAACTAATCCACAGGTAAAGTTCACCAAATTTATCTGCCTCTGTTAGCCTAGTTCTATATACCTAATTTTGAAAAACTATTGTTACAAATATGACCAGAAAGCGCCCCCACCATCCAGGTACTTCACCTACTTTGTTTTCAGGACTTTAGTAGATTTGGTCATTGTCTATTTGAGATTAGTATGCCTCCAAAAATCTTGGTAGTGAAAAATGCCTGCTTTTCTGTTCTTAATTAGTACTTTTTGAATATTAATTCTTCCATTTTCAAATATTTCCAAAGTCATTTAATTCACACCTTCTAAGGAGAGCGATATTACGATTCTAAAGGGAAAGGTCGAGACAGAATTGAAAGACTTGATCTTTAAATCACGAAAAACAACCTCTACAGAAAAATTTTTTTCTTGTGCTGTTCACTGTACAATTTGCAACATGGTACTATCACTTGGGACCAGAAACAGGACTAAATTAGGAAAGCCCAGGAAGTGGTCTGGTCACTGAAGGTTCTAGGGATCCAAACCCCAAAGATCCCAGTGTGGCAGACCCAGAGTAGCCCTGAATGTGTTAAGCTGCACCAAACACTTGATATCTTAGAGAGTTCAAGTAAGAGGATTTTAGGAGTACATCTTTAACTTTTTTAGAAACTAGTCTGCTGAAGTCCACAGACAGTTAAATAGTTTTTTGTTGTTGTGGGTTTTTTTGGGGTTTTTTTTGAGTTGGAGTCTCACTCTGTCGCTCAGACTGGAGTGCAGTGGCCGCTCCCGGCCACCGCAGCCTCGACCCGCTGGGCTCTGGCGATCCTTCCGCCTCAGCCTTCCGAGTAGCTGGAATTACAGGCATGCACTACCACGCCCGGCTGATTTTTTGATTTATTGTAGAGATGAGGTCTCGCCAAGTTGCCCAGGTGGGTCTTGAACCCACGGGCTCAGGCAATCCGCTCACCTCGGCCTCCCAAAGCGCTGGGATTACAGGCTGAGCCACCAAGCCCGGCCAAGAGTTAACAGGAACTCTATAGCTAGTAAGTAGCAAAACAGGAGCCTTCTGACTCTTCCTCTACCTTTCTTCCTTTGTGGTAGAACCTGAATCCCCATGTAAAAAATGGAGTTAGCTTGGAATGACTTCTAGTCTGTCTGGCAAATGCTTCTAGTCCTATTTCTTCCACATATTGTCTGGTTGATCTTGGATAAGACATTCTAGTTCAGTTTCTGTATGCTGAAATGCTTGATCTAGTAATGCTTTAAGATTGAATAATGACATTCATATATTGACTCCACATGTCTTCCAGAATTTATTTCATGGTTCCAGGCCTCTTTCATACTTTAAAGTATAGCTCTCTGTAGATATATTTATGCAAATCAAATGTTTATGCAAAGTATTTTAAGCTTATCACTTACATATTCAAATAATACTGCAGAATGGAAAGTTGGAGTTTGCTACCCATGCGAACATATCTGTAAACAGTACAATTAAGAAGAAAGACACGTTTAATTATTTAAAAAACTGAAATTTTGTGAATTACAACATGGTCCTTTCATGTAAAGTCACGAAGACAACCTAGAACTGCTGGACTGTAAACAGACTGAGTCTCTTTCACCTTCGCATTAATAAGCAGGGTGCCAGTTCTGTGTTGTTGCTATTAATCAATGCCTATTGCCTGGGTAAATGGTGTACTTAGGTCAGTTTCTGTCTTTCAAACTAAACCCTCTAGTCCAGTGATGACTGTGGAACACCTTTTACCCATTGAATTCTTAGCCAGATTGAGAATAATTTAAATAATGTGTTGCTACTAAATTGTAAATTAAAACTAACTCAAAAATGTATTATTATGCGAGGTGAAAAATATGAGTATTTGATATGATGTCAACTGTGTATCAGGAAATAAAAGATTCATTTCAAAAAGATTGAAAGGAAATATACCCAAAGTACTAACAGTAGGTTTTTTCCTACTTTTTTTCTTTTTATATTAAGCATTATTTTTACAATCGGGAAAATAAATTTTAAGTTTAAAAATAAGTATCAATAGAAATGAATGGAGCAAAGAATTAGCCTCCAGTTCTTTGCATTCCTTGTCTTCTCTAAGACACATTTTACTATAGAAGCACTTGAGTTTTCACTTCCCTTAACCACTATCTACCAAGTAACTGACCAAGTAATTTATCGTTTGATTTGTCATCACCAAACAAAAACAAATAAAAATAGCAAAGAAAGTGCTGATAATAAAGGGTACAGTAGGGTCAAACTTAGCCTACAATTGTATATTAAAACATATGATGGCCGGGCTCGATGGCTCAGCCTGTAATCCCACACCTTTGGGAGCCTGAAGTGAGTGGATTGCCTGAGCCCATGGGTTTGAGACCCGCCTGGGCAGCGAGACCTCTTCTCTACAATAAATAAATAAATGAATGAATGAATGAATAAATAAATAAATCAGCCGGGCATGGTAGCGCCTGCCTGTAATTCCGGCTACTTTGAAGGCTGAGGCGGAAGGATCGCTGGAGCCCAGCAGGTCAAGGCTGCGGTGGCTGGGAGCGGCCCCTGCACTCCAGTCTGGGCGACAGAGTGAGACTCCAACTCAAAAAAAACAAAAATATGATGATAAAACAGTTAAAATAATACAAATTGATAGATAAAGAATAGTGACCAGAATAGATAACTCTAAAACAGACCCTAGTATGTATGAAAACGTAGGTGAGAAAAGAGGTATCACAAACTAATGAATAATGAATGGTTATTATTTTATACTGCTGTGGACAATACTGTTTGGAAAAAATCATTTTCATCATTTCACATGTCAGCATGCATTCCTAAGAGAATTAAAGAATCTCCTGAGAAAAATAAAACCACTTTCTAAAATTAGATGAAAATGTAAGTATTTTACTCAGTTTGGTTTAAATATTTTTAAAACAGAGAATCAGTCTAAGAAATTACAAAAGGTAGTACCAGCCTTGATTACCTTGTAAAATATTAAACTCTTAAGTCAAATGCTGTTGTAAACAAATAAGAAAGTATTTTCAAGAAAAAGACAAGTTAATATTCTTAATTTGTAAGAGCTGTTTACATACCAGTAATTTAAACTACCAAGTTTAAAATGGACACAGACTTTTCTCACACACACACACACACACACACACACACACACACACACACACACAAAATACACCTGGCAAATAAACATGGTAATGTAATTTAATACAGAAGAAATTTTACCAAAATATAAGTGGTTTTTATCTCAGGTAGCAGCATTTGGGGTTATTATTCTTCTTTACATTTTTCAGTATAAATTACTTTTATAATAAGGAAAAATTATAAATATAACATTTAAACCCACTCAGTATGTCAATATGAATTAGTATAATGCTCTTAGGATATAATTTGGTTATATTTACCAAGTTATAAAAATACTTTTTATTGCTAAATTAGTATTTATATTGTTAAGTATTTATATTGTTGAGGAAGGCATATTCATGTATACATATTCATATAGGTAATAATATATGTGTATATTCTATATTTTAATGAAATATTAAAATTTAAATTTTTTTTTTTTTTTTTTTTGAGTTGGAGTCTTACTCTGTCGCCCAGACTGGAGTGCAGTGGCCGCTCCCGGCCACCGCAGCCTCCACCTGCTGGGCTCTGGCGATCCTTCCACCTCAACCTTCCAAGTAGCCTGAATTACAGGCATGCGCTACCACACCCGGCTGATTTTTTGATTTATTGTAGAGATGAGGTCTCACTGCCCAGGTGGGTCTCGAACCCGCAGGCTCAGGCAATCCACTCACCTCAGCCTCCCAAAGGCGGGGGATTACAGGCTGAGCCACCGAGCCCAGCTAATTTAAATTTTTAAGAATTATGATAATTCAACCTGATATAATATTAGGTGGCCATTAAAAATAATAATCATAACTTTTTATTAATGTAAGAGGAATATTGATATTATTTGAAATAAGAAATGCAGAATTCAAAATTGTATCTATATTACAATTACATCTATTTAAAGACATGCATGAAATAAATAAGCCTTAGAAGGAAAAGTAGAAAAGTTAAAACAGTTATGTTAATTTTTAAAATGTGTTAAGTTAGTGAAATTATGAGAGTTTTTCTTTCTATTTTGTCATAAAAACTGGGTGGGAGAAAGAAAAAGAAATCTAGGATGCATACAGAGAAAAAGCAAAATAAGAAAAATTTATGTCCCTTTTCTTCCCTATTATTTTGTATCTCCTCTAGAAAGTTTATTTTCTCTTCTCAGCAAAAAGTTCTATTATCTGTTGTTATGATTAAACGAAAGATGACATCTGTAGTTTACCTTGAAATGCATCCAAATAAAGATGGATTAATGGATGCACAGATGTGTAATAAAAGAAACAGCAAAATGTGAACAATGATAGTATCTAGATGGTGAGCTTATGGGTGTTCACTTTACAGCTCTTTCAACTTTCTATATGCTTGAAAAACATAAAATGTTAAACATAAATGATTTTGAATGCCTTGGGGAGAAAACTAGAAAAATAATAGCCAATTGTTAAATTTACAAGCATTACTCACTAAGGAACTATTTTTGTTTTCTATCTGCATTGCAAATTAATACGTATACTGGCCACCTCTGAAATACTGTCTTAAGATAGTGTGCATCTGAAATTTACTGGGATCTCATGTTTCTTTGTCCCTCTCCTAGCTTCTTTGTTTTCCTTTATCTTACGAAAGACAGTCGTTTCCTCACCATAAATATTATGAACAAGACCACTTCTGAAGTGTGGTTGATAGATGGCTCGAGCCCTTGGGATCCACCAGTACTTATCCAGAAGCGAATACATGGTGTTCTTTACTATGTTGAACACAGAGATGATGAATTATACATCCTCACTAATGTTGGAGAGCCTACAGAGTTTAAGGTAACCCTGAATTCTTCTAGTCTTCTGGGCTGTTAAGAAGTGGCATAATTCCATCAACATTTCTTGTTCTAAGAGTTTATTGTTTTGTAAACTGATGCTACCTTCCTAAGCATAACCAATCCCATTTCTCTTCCCTTGGTGCTGATGCCTCTACATATTTTAATTATGCCTAAAAAGGTTAATAAATGAAACATTGTATGATTATATGTTATCAAAGTCAAACTTAGTGGCTTAAAAAGAGCAAACTTTATACTTCTTGATTTTTGAGTTGGCAGTTTACATTGATCTCAGCTAGGCATTTCTGCTGCTTAGCTAGGCTCACTAATGTATCCATGGTTAGCTGGCTGTCAATGCCCTCACTTGAGTATCTGTTGGTTGGCTGTCAGCTAAGCACTGGATCATACTATCTCACCGCACAGCAGACTAACCTGGGCTCATTCATGTGGTGATAGTGACACTTTATCCCTGATACAGTCTGTTCCTTCAGGTCTGCATAAACTAGTGAAGACTAATATGGTCTAATTTTCAGTGATTTCACATCTAGATGCCGGAGCCTTGATGTTTTGTTACCTAGATCTCTTCAAACTTTGTTCCATGCAGCTAATGAGAACAGCAGATGATGCTCCTGCAATTATGAATTGGGATTTATTTTTCACAATGAAGAGAAATACCAAAGTTGTAGACTTGGACATGTTTAAGGATCACTGTGTTCTGTTCCTGAAGCATAGCAATCTTCTTTATGTTAATGTGATTGGTCTGGCTGATGACTCAGTTCGATCTCTAAAGGTATGTCTAATTTTAAAAGATAATGCTATTAATCAAAATACATATGTAGTTTGACTTAACAGAACATCACATTTTTAATAATAACTGTTCTTCTTCAGAGGAATTTAATTTAAATAGAATTTAGCATACTGGCTCACTATCTGATTTGGAGATTGCTTTTAGAATTATTAGAGGACCTTGCTTTAATGCAGTTTTACTTAAAATACTGTCTTACAGCATGGACTTCAGAAGTAGAGTTAAGGGCCATTATATTTCTCTTTCTCCATAGCTGTATATTTCAAGTCTCTCTACAACTTTTAAGTGTAGCAATCACTCAAGCCAACTTAACAGTTAGTGCCTAATCACTAACTGCTGCTTCCCTACCTCACATCCCCAGTAGAGACAGTCGTCATACTCACCGTGCTTCGGCCCCTGCATGCTTGTGTCTGTATCATCTTCTCTTTGCTTGTTTTTTTTTTTTTTTTGAATTGGAGTCTCACTCTGTCGCCCAGACCGGAGTGCAGTGGCCGCTCCCAGCCACCGCAGCCTCAACCTGCTGGGCTCTGGCGATCCTTCCGCCTCAGCCTTCCAAGTAGCCGGAATTTCAGGCATGCGCTACCACGCCCGGCTGATTTTTTGATTTATTGTAGAGATGAGGTCTCGCTGCCCAGGCGGGTCTCGAACCCGCGAGCTCAGGCAATCCACTCAACTCAGCCTCCCAAAGGCGCGGGATTACAGGCTGAGCCACCGAGCCTGGCTGCTTGTTTTTTTACCCATGGAGGTGAGAGGGGGATGAACTTTTTTTTCAGTGTAGGTGTGGCAGTGGTCTCCAGAGCAGCACAAAGGGATGATGGTGGCAGGGCTGCCTGGGAGGCTGACTAGATAATACTGCCTGTAGCTACCAGGAAAAATAATCTGCTTTCACCAGTGAACTTGCTAAAATTGGTGAATAGCAACCTTATTGCCCAGTTTTAAAGTAGCCTTAACATAAGAACTAAGTTAGCAGGTACTGAAGAGAAGAAGGTCTCCGTTTTGCTTGATAGGAAAAGAGTTATTGAGCCAGTTGATCAATGAGCAACATAAATCCTCCCTGACTCCAGTATTGCCAAAATTCCTATTAAAATGCAATTCCAGTCAGCCCAGTGGCTATTTATCGAACTTCTGTGTGCTAAATACTATATTGGGCATTATGGAGTGGAATGGTGGTAGGGCCTGAAGGAGGATCACTGTATCTAAGATTAGACTAGTACCCAAAGGTTCAGTATCATGTGGATCTTTAAAAGTGGTTTCAAAAATATAACATGGGCGGCAAGGCTCAGAGAAGAAGGTGGCTCAGGAAAGCTTTAGGTGAAGTTGGTTGAATTTGAACCAAAGAAGACGGATAGGATTTTGACAGGTAGGGAAGGATGTGATATTCCAGGATGAGAAAGTCTTCAAACGAAGCTCGATGCTGAAGACCTTCAAAAAATGCTAAGGAACTGCTAATAATGCTATTTTATTGAAGCAGAATTACGTTTCTGGAGGATGAAGCTATGATTTGACTTTTTTTGACTGGCAGTATGAGGAATTTATGCATAAATTATGAAGGGGACTATTTGAAGTTTTTGAGGAGGAGAATGGTTTGAGTGGAGCAGCCTTCATGACGTTTTGTGGCAGCCATATTAGGGGAGACTGAACCAAAAAGAGATAAGGGGCAGGGAGACAGTTTCAAGAGTGTTATGCTGGTATACATAAATAATAAAAGCCTAAAGACAATTGGAATTCTCCAGCTACTTCCTAAAATCAGACTATCAGATGTAATGTCCAGTCTCTTAGAACATTATAATAGGTATCCTAAAAACGATGATGATTGACTTCAAGGATTTTCTTATTGTCTTCTGGTGGATTCAAAGTATTTCTTTTCACATGTTAATTAATGCCAAAATCAGACATCTTCCATGGAGAATCTGGCATAGGGCCATATTTGTAGTCTATATGAATGTAGGGATGGGAGAGAATATGTACTTTCTAGCAATGCATTTATTACCACAAAATTCTAGGTCAAGAAAATTAGGAATGTCATACAGACTTTGCTGTAATATGATTTGATTTCTAAGTAAATGTAACCTTTTATACTTTTGTAAGTATTCTTATTTTAAAGATATGCCTCAGTTTCCATGACTGTAGCTTTCATTAGAACAAACATCATGTCTTTAATTTATTCTATATCCTCTCTCTTCATTTCCTTACCCTTCCCAAACTATAGTACTGAGTATGCCTTGTATAATATTTTAAGTCATCATCAAATGGAATCAAATACTATGTAATATACCAAGTTAATACCTGGTATATAACAAAGAGAATCTTTTAGATCAAACCTTTTCGTTGAACCTGGATAACATTGAGTAATAGCCATAGACAGTGCCATACACAAAAGATGAAACTTTAAACTGTGAATGTGTTATATAGTATTCTTGTATATAACATCTCTGCCTTGTGGTCACTTGACTGAAAGATATTTTAAAACTCAGTTACAGCAATATACCTGTACAACCCTTTGCATACTTGCCGCTTATCTTCTGTCCTTATGTCATCAGTCTTTTTTGGTAACATTTTTTCCAGAAAAAGAAGTTATGATATTCAGTTGTTAATGATATTTAATGTAAACAAATTGGGACTTTTTTGCTCGGTGCCAACATCAGTTTTTTTGCTTTTTGGTTTTTTTTGTTTGTTTGTTTTTTGTTTTTTTGGGTTTCTTTTTTGAGTTGGAGTCTTACTCTTTCGCCCAGATTGGAGTGCAGTGGCCGCTCCCGGCCACCGCAGCCTTGACCTGCTGGACTCCGGCGATCCTTCCGCCTCAACCTTCCAAGTAGTTAGAATTACAGGTGCGTGCTACCACACCCAGCTAATTTTTTGATTTATTGTAGAGATGAGGTCTCGCCAAGTTTCCCGGGCGGGTCTTGAACCTGCGAGCTCAGGCAGTCCACTCACCTCAGACTCCCAAGGCACGAGATTACAAGCTGAGCCACCGAGCCTGGCTTGCTTTTTGTTTTTTTTAATTCTTAAATTATTTTTCTTGGAATCTCAGATCTAGGTCAGCAGCTAATATAAGTTTTATTTATAGGAGAAATCTGCATACCCAACATAATTTTCTTTCAGCATGTATGTCTTGCTCATTTTTTCAATGAAATGTCTATAGTTTGCTGGAAGAGTGCTGAAGCTGAATCTATTTCTGTTAAGTATCTAAGGAATGTCTTCCTGTCCCTGGCTAACTTAATCTTGGGTGTTGTCCATTAGTGTACACAGATACACTACAGGCTTATCTCCATAGGAAATGTGGCTTAAGATATCCTTGAGATAGTTAACATTTCTGCATCAGCTGCTCATAGCCTTGGAACAGTTTTTGTTATGATTAAAACTTTAACATTGGTCCCATTAGTTTTAGAAAAACACTCGAAAGACTTTTTGTTTTACTGGAACCACTTGGTCTAAAGCTACAGACAGCTTATCACATGGAAACTACCCTGATATTTCACCAAAAGTTAGAAAAATGTGTGCTTCTGTGGGCTAAGGAACCCAGGCCCTTACTCTGAGGCCTGGTTATGGAGTTTGTCGCTATGCTTCTTTTTTTCCCTCTCAGGTCTCAGTTTGCTCACTTGCAATTATACTACCAGATTTCTCAACTTGTATGTTTACATTTTTCTCTCCAGTTATAGATTCCACTTAAATAGGCAAATAATTCTTAAAGTAATGCTCAGTCTCATAAATGAAACAAGGAACTCTGAGAGACATGTTGCAAGTATGTCCCTAACTAGTATTTCACGAAAACAGAGCCTTTGGATTAACTAGAAGAAATGTTCTCAAGGCATAGGCTCTTTGGCACTAGCTTCTGCAGGTGAAATGATGGACTCTATGCACACATCCCCCATCCACACTTTTCAATAGTGCCCACCAGAGATGTCGGCACGCCTCTGATTTTCTGAGGAATTTGCTCTTTCTACAATTACTCAGGAAAAGAAAGGCAATTTTCTTTGAACGTTAGGACGCTCAGTACCACTTCTAGCACTCTGTCAACCTGCTTACTAGAGTTCTGTAAGAGGTGTGAGAGGAATGTTAGTGGAAGGCTTGAAGCTGGACCCTGCTGCTCTAAGAGAATAAATTTTGATTCCTTTCCTTTTTCTTAAAGTTAAGAATCGTACACATAATAGCTGTGAGTCTCTCAGAGTAGATGTGCCAGGAAAGGTTTTGTTCTGCACAATGGTTAGCCTAGGAGCTGAAGTTAGAAACAAATTGTAAATGCTTTAGTGCTGCTGAGCCCGTTTGTAGCCCCGGAATAATAACTGTCATCACTGTGGCTGTCTAGGCAGCAGGGTAAAGGACTGGTGGGTAAATTATTAAAAACACGTGCATGTGAGAGATTTCATGTTCTGTGAGATGGAGATCTTGGGAATGTCGCTGGGTTCTGGAATTACTACTTGATTTGCTTTTATTCTTAACCATTTCACTATTTCATTGCCTGAGCTCATACCCCAAAATAAACTTTATGTTAAAGGCAATTTTATGTAAATCTAGAATCATGATAAGGCATTGTCCTATATTTTTCTCATTGCTCATTAATGTAGGATTTTGTCTGTTTTTTACTTGAAATATATTTTGTTGTGATAAAGTAATCCTCAAGTGAGGCATCATATGGTAACAGAAAGGAGGTAAACTAGATGTCTACATCATATTGTTTGGGGCCATCTCAGAAATTTAATTAATGACACTTAGTATGTACATAAAAAGTAAAAATATCTTTTATTTCTTTAGCTCCCTCCCTGGGCCTGTGGATTCATAATGGACACAAGTTCTGACCCAAAGAACTGCCCCTTTCAGCTTTGCTCTCCAATACGCCCCCCAAAATATTACACCTACAAGTTTGCAGAGGGCAAACTGTTTGAGGAAACTGGGCATGAAGACCCAATCATAAAGACTAGTCGTGTTTTACGTCTGGAAGCTAAAAGCAAGGTAGGTAGTAATAGGTCTTTGCAATCTCCACTTTCAGCTTTTGTTTACTAAAAGCATTCTATTTGTCAGACAATGTGCAGTTGCTGGGGTTACATTAGCACATGGGGTTACATTCACAGATTCCTAACATAATTCCCTTAGGCCACAGTAAGTCCCAGATTATTTTAGAGGTCTTACTGTGAATTTTTTTTAACTTTAATACTCATCTGTTTATTTTAACATGGATTCGAAAATTTATACCTAATACATCAAGAATCACGTAAATCTAGAATCACATATCGTTTATGTCTGAATTTTAAAAGTTGACTTAAGAAAAAATTAAGTAAATAGAGTTGGTATGCTGTTGTGGCAAAAATTGGGAAGGTGGTAAACAGTTGACTACAGTGAACTAGACCAATGCAGTCCCTGCCCTGTGGAGCTTCCATCTAACAAGGAAGATGACCAATGCTGAAGGAGTCATCGCTAATATGCTGATTGCTAAGACATAATGAGGACAGTGGAAGCATATGGCGAGGGACCTTACCTAGTCTGGAGACATCAGGAAAGGCTTCTCCAAGGAATTGATGACTCAGGTAAAACCTCTAGGATTAAGCTAGAGAGGATACAAGAGTTTCCATTTTGTAGAGCAGCCCTGAATTTGAGAGAGATGGTACAATTCAAGAAGCATGAAGGAGGCCAGTGTCATCAAAATAGAGTAAAAGAGGGAAGATTGACAGGGGAAGGAGTGGAGAGACGTGAGATATAGGAAAGAAAATAACAGATATTCATATTCCAGGTATACTCAGTATACAGAATCTACACATTTGTACAGTGGGAAACAAATTAGTGTATAACTGTAGCCTTGAATTTTAGGACTTTTCAGACTTTAGCATATCATGCGTCAGATATTTTTCACATGCGCTGACAATGAATTGTAACACAAGCCATTATTATTAATTTCTTTATTGAATTCATTGATTTTTTTTTAATGTCTTTAAGTAAATATTAATATTATTTTCATATTACAAAAGCAGTACACACTTGTTAGAACAAATGCAAAAATATAGAATGTATAAAATGTAAATCACTACTATACCATTTGCTCGCTGTGCCTCTTAGAATAATCATTGTTAGCCATTTAGTGTATCACCTTCCATATTTTTGTCAACAAAATACAAATTTTTAGGTTTTGTTTCGTTTTATAAACACGAAATTATACCAATCTACCAAAATGTTGTAATTATTTACACTAAATGGAAAGAACGATTATGCTGTGTTCCTGGAGAGCCTTGGAGAGCCATGTTCTGAAATTCTTCATGTACTAGGGGAGAAGGGAAGCACCTGCTAAGTGAAGCACCTGTACCTTTCTACAGGTGTTTTTGCACTGCTGGCAACCTTGGATCCAGCCATTACAGGACCAGCTACCATTTTCACCTCTTCCTTTCACAAGTTTTCAACAAGCGAATTTTTCTGATTGTATAATTGAAGTTGAGGAAGAGGCAAGGGGGTAAAAGATCAAGATTGTTTTATAGAATTTAATCTACTTAAAGTTTTATAAGGGTAAATCTTACTGAGAAGTGAAAATCCATTTATGCTCTCATAACAAGCAGAGTATGATAAAGAATAGTGAGAGGAGAATTTCCTTCTTATATGATAACACTCTGATGTCTCCATTTATTTTGCCTCAAAGTGAAGTTTTCAAGATGAGAATGAAAAAAATATGGAGAGTGATTTGGTCATATTATTTTATTTATGTAATAGAATGCTATTTCATTAGTTTAAGCCAGGTAAGACCCAACTTTTTTACCTTTTTTTAATGAATGGAAGATCAGAAGTAGTTTTTTTATTTGTCCAGAGAGTACCTAGTTTCAGTCAACTGGGGTTGTTGAGTTTGAGCTACATCGGGATGACCTAAAGGTAATTTAAATGTTAAAACTAATAAAACTTGCGTAGGCCAGGCTTGGGGGCTCAGCCTGTAATCCCAGCACTTTGGGAGGCCAAGGCGAGTGGATTGCCTGAGCCCATGGATTCAAGACCCGCCCAGGCAACTTGGCAACACCTCATCTCTACAATCAATCAAAAATTAACTGGGCGTGGTAGCGTGCACCTGTAGTTCGGCTACTTGGAAGGCTGAGGTGGAAGGGTTGCCAGAGCCCAGCAGGTCGTGGCTGCAGTGGCCGGCAGCGTGCCACTGCACTCCAGCCTGGGGGACAGAGTGAGACTCCAACTCAATTAAAAAATTTTAAAAATTTTAAAAAATAAAACTTGCGTAAAATTTTGAATTTTTTTTTAAATTAAAAATGGGTCTTTGAAGAGGTTACAGTAGATATTAGTAAAGTCAACAAGATATTTCTGGTCCTAATCGTTGAGAAGACTGCCTATAGAGGACAGAAAATTTAGCTGGTGAGACTTCTGAAGTCAGCATATTCGTAAATATCAAAGATGAGAAGTGCCAGTATCTAGCCCTAGGCACAGGGAGAATTCTGTACTTTACTGGGGGTCTCTAACTTTGATAGGTATTTTGGCTAGACCTGAAATTTTATGGTAAGAGTGGATAGTGAAGAATTCTTTATATTACACTACTAACATGAAAAACTGCATTTAATGAAATGTTTTCAAGCCAGTCTTGCTTCTCTTTTCTGGTTAATGTTGTAGGTCAGCAAAGTAACTGAAACCTAGAATCATATGTCTTTTTAGAGACCATATTTTGTCCTAAACAAATTTGTGCTCGACGTTCATAGGTAGCACATAGGGGAGAAAGAGCACTTCAGTGTATTTTAAATGAGGAGAAAACTTTTTTAAAAAAAACCTCTTATTTACATGCATATTAATTATTAATTTCCAGGATGGAAAATTAGTGCCAATGACTGTTTTCCACAAAACGGACTCTGAGCACTTGCAGAAGAAACCTCTCTTGGTACATGTATATGGAGCTTATGGGATAGATTTGAAAATGAATTTCAGACCTGAGAGGCGGATATTGGTGGATGATGGATGGATATTAGCATATTGCCATGTTCGGTGAGTCAGTATACCTTACTTACCTGGCATATAAGCACTAGAGCATTGTGGCAGATGTCCCAATAGTATAATAGCGAGCAAAGGCTTATTTTCTCATTTCTGTTGAATTTATGTATTCCTAAATCTGTGCTGGTAGAACTTGATTCTATTACAGGTCAGTTGATCCAGAAAGCGAAGTGGCAGATTTTTAGGATTTTTGAGTAGCTGTACAAGTCTTTGTACTTAGTAATATTATTATTGCCATTCAATTCTTCTAAGTTTGAATTTAAGCAGCCTCTCAAGCTGAACTCCAGTTTTCCATTTAACTTCCTTTTTATTTTAGCTGTTCTCAAGACACAAATAGTATTTTATATTTCTGCTTAAAATCCTTTTCCACCTGCCCATCTCCAGAACAGAGTCCTTGGTGTGGTATTCCTAATGATCTGGCTTGTCTCTAGTGGCACGTTATCATCCCATCCTTTCAAATGACATGCTCTTGACAGAGCATGCTCCTTGCCCTTGTACATACTGTGTCTTCTCTGTGTCTTGGTGCCTTCCCTTTCTTTGTTTGCCCTTCTGGAAACTCAAATTCTTCATTCACAACTGAGCTTAGGTATCATCTCCTTAAGCATTTGTGTTCCTGACTAGTCTGTATGCTCCTAACCTGGCAGATGAATATTTTTTCCTCTGCTTCTGTAATACCTTGAATACACTTATATTACAGCAGCAACCACTTTGCTTGGTAACGGTTTTTTTCCCCTCACAAAATTATGATCTTCTCCAGGGCAGGGGATTTTTGTTTGTTTATATTTTTAAGGTCTGCACTTAGCACAGTGCCTGATAAATAGTAGGCAGGAACTTAAAATATATATTTTTTGAATCAATTTTTGATTGTATCAGAGGTTGGCAAACTTTTCTCTGAAGAACAACACAGTAACAGTCTTTGTAGGCCACAAGCAGTCTCTTGCATATTCTTTGTTGTTGTTTTTCATACAAAGTAAAGTAAAACCATTCTTAGCTTCAAGGCCATACAGAAGCAGGCCTCCCGGTATAAATTGCTGACCCCAGCCTACATCATTCACATTTTATTTCCACTAAAACTTTTTTGCCCTTCAATTTCAGGGGAGGTGGTGAGTTAGGCCTCCAGTGGCACACTGATGGCTGTCTAACTAAAAAACTCAATGGCCTTGCTGACTTAGAGGCTTGCATTAAGACGCTTCATGACCAAGGCTTTTCTCAGCCATGTTTAACAACACTGACTGCTTTCAGTGCTGGAGGGGTGCTTGCTGGAGCATTGTGTAATTCTAATCCAGAGCTCCTGAGAGCAGTGACTTTGGAGGTGAGTACACTCTGTCTCTATGGTTTACAGAATGGAGGAGGTGTGAAGCCATAGGCTGCTCTAAGAAAAACATTTCTGTTTTAGTTTTACCATAGCATAGGTATGTAATAAAGCGTTAAAATTTTGGTTTCTTCCCCTCTCCCCCCTTTCACCCCCCCAACCGGGGTAGGGTCTTAGGGTCTTACTCTGTTGCCCAGGCTGGAGTGCAGTGACTTATTTTTAAATCACTATAACCTCGAACTTCTGGGCTCGAATGATCCCAGGTAGCAGGGACTAAAGGCATGTACCACCATGCCTGGCTAATTTTTTTAAAAACTTTTTTTGGAGACAGGGTCTCATTATGTTGCCTAAGTTAATCTTGAACTCCTGGCTTCAAGTGATTCTCCTGCCCTGGCCTCCCAAAGCACTGGGATTTTAACTGTAGCTCTAGGAGAGCTTATAAAGTTATTTTAATCCAAGTATTTACCTTTATTCTTCTCTGAAAATGTATTTCAATCCAACTATTAACCCTTATTCTTCTCCAACAATGTTCTTTATTCATTTTTAAGGATTTGTACTGAAAGATATTAATGGCTCTTCCCATTGATCATTTGTATTTGTAAAAATGTTTAGAATTGGTGGAAAAGAATCAAAGCATATATGATTCACAGCTCCAGAAAGTCAAGTAGAGCATACTGTGACCCTGGAATGCATTAAATCCTTTGATTCCTAGTAAGCTTAACAATCTACCACCCATCAACATTTCAGTCCTGGATTTAGAGGCTATTTTTAGCTACTGCATTCTTAATGGTCTTTTGGACATAGTTTTTCTATACTTTAATTGAAACAGCTTATCCTGTTCAAAAAATGACCTATAGTCTTGTATCCAAAATTATGAGGTTATATTATAGCAGTTGGTTTCACCTCTGTTACTCGCCTGTGAAAAATAATGACTGAGATGGAGAGAGTATAAAGTATTTTCAGGGGGGTTTGGGGTTTTTCTTGTTGGTTTTTTTTTGTATGTTTGTTTTGTTTGGAGGGGGTTTTCTTGAGGCTGAGGAGTATATACTCTGGACTTATATTAAGTAAATAAGTTTTAAATGCTCCTAATCTGTACATCTGTTTTTTAAAAATAGAAATACTAAGTATGGAAGAAAAAAAACCTATGCACAAAGATAATAATGGCAGAATTATATACAGTGTAAAGAAAAAAACAACTTGCTTTCAATTTTTAGAAATTAGAAGGGATATCATCAGAAATATATGTGTAAGGATATTTTTCCCAGATGCTTATTATAGCAAAGAACAGGAAACAACCTAAATATCTAGCAATAGGGATTCATATATAAGTCATAGTTCTTAATTATAAGCACCAAAAGCCAACTCTGACTAACTTATTCAGGAAAAGGGATTTTTTTGTTTTGTTTTGAGTCAGAATCTCACTTTGTCACCCAAACTGGAGTGGAGCAGCATGTTCTTGGCTATTGCAACTTCAACCTGCTTGGCTCAGGCGATCCTTCCGCCTCAGCCTTCTAAGTAGCTGGAACTACAGGTGCATGCCAGCACACCCAGCTAATTTTTTTTTTCTAGAGATGAGGTCTCACCAAGTTACCCAGGCTGGTCTTGAACCCCTGGGATCAGGCAATCCTCTTGCCTCGGCCTCCCAAAGTGCTGGGATTATAGGCATGAGCACCATACCCAGCAAAAAAGAGATTCTTAAAGGATATTATATCAGGGAAAGGTGGATCTGTTCAAAACCAATGTCAAGAGGCAGCACAGGCCAGCTTGGTGGCTCAGCCTGTAATCCCAGCACTTTGGGAGGGTGAGGCGAGTGGATTGCCTGAGCCCCAGGTTCGAGACGCGCCTGACCAAATTGGTGAGACCTCATCTCTACAATAAATCAAAAATTAGCTGGGTGTAGTAGCACACGCCTGTAGTTCTGGCTACTTAGAGAGCTAAGGCAGAAGGATCACCTGAGCCCAGTAGGTCGAGGCTGCAGTGGCCGGGAGCATGCCACTGCATTCCAGTCTGGGTGACAGAGTGAGACTCCAACTCAAAAAAAAAAAAAAAAAAAAAGAGGTAGCACAGCCAAAGAGAGTTGGTCCAATGAAGCTGTCACTGCCACTACTGCTAAGCACGAGTTCCCTCACACTGCCAGTGCTACTACTAGAAACTAGATATAGTTGTGACACTTTTATCAGAATTAATTCTCCATGATCCCCATTTCTTTTGAATCGCTGACTTCCCGTGCAAAGTATAGGTGTCTGATGGGCAGATGTAAGTCACCCATGTGGCTACTTCCAAGCTCCTGGAAAAGGTGGGACAGAGATTCTCTGGCATTTAGTATCTCTACAACAAGGCTCTGTCTAATAAAGCTGGAGATTTCAAATGCAGAAAAGGAGTTCAGATGCTAGGCAGCAAAAAAAATGGCAGATACTTGACTATACCTGGTAAAATTAATATGAAGAAAAGTGAAAAACATGTAAACGGAAGAATACAAAGCTAAATGAAAAACATAGTCTACGTTTTATTAACACTGGTTATGAGCCAGTGGGTGATTTTCTACTCTTTCACCTTGGATATTTTCCAGATTTTCTTTAATTAGCATTTTTTACTTTTATTGTAAGATGTCCAATAGGTGAAAGAGACTTTATATGCTGTTGGGTTATTTTGTCATTTTTTAAAACTGTTTAATTGTGGTAAAATAAAATTTACCATCTTAGCCATTTTTAAGTGAGCAGAGAAGTTCAATAGTGTTAGGTGTATTCACATGGCCATACAATCTCCAAAACTCAATTTTCATTTTGCAAAACTGAAACTCTGATGCCATCAGACAACTCTCCGTTTTCTTCTTCTTTTCCCTGCATCTGGAAATCACCCTGTTCTACTTTCTGTTTCTATGAATTTGACTACTCTATGTATCTCACATAAGTGGACTCATACAAAATATATCTTTTTGTGACTGGCTTATTTCACTTAGTTTATATTCTTGAGGTTCATCCATATTGTAACTTGGATCAGAATTTCATTCTTTTTTAAGGCTGAATATCCCATTGTATGTATACACTACATTTTACTTATTCAGTCTTCCATTGATGGACACTTAGGTTGTGTCTACCTTTTGGCTGTTTTGAATAATGCTGCTATGAACATGGGCGTACAGATATCTATTCAAGACCCTACTTTCAATTTTAGAGGGTATATACTGAGGAGTGGAATTGCTGGATTATATGGTAATTCTAATTTAACTTTTTGATGAACCACTATGCTGTTTTCCATAGCAGCTACACCATTTGACTCTCTATCCAACGGTGCATAAGGGTTCCATTATATTCATATCATTGCCAACAATTATTATTTTTGGCTGGGAACAATGGCTCATGCATGTAATCCCAGGCGTAATCCTTGGGGGGCCAAGGCAGGAGGATTACTTGAGCCCAGAAGTTCAAGCATTAGCATTTGTTACAGAAGTTCAAGACCAGCCTGGGTAATATAGCAAGATGTTATCTCTAAAATAAAATAAAACAAAATAGTTAACTGGATTTGGTGGCATGTTCCTGTAGTCCTAGCTACTTGAAAGGCGAAGGCAGAGAGAATCACTTCAGCCCAGGAAGTAGAGGCTGCTGTGATTGTGCACCCCAGCCTGGATGACAGAGTGAGACCCCAACTCAAAAAAGAAAAAAATATATTATTTTCTGGCTTTTTAAAAACTGTAGTAACCATCCTAATGGGTATGAAGCAGTAGCATTTATCACTTTTATATTTTAAAAATAATGAATAAAAGACACCAATCTAAAAATAAGAATTGTGAAATTAGAAGATAAATTCTTACTTGTTATGTAAAGATCATTTAAGGAGCCTGAAAGTTTAAAATAAGGTTATAAATTACAGGCCCCCGGTAAGGATTGAGTAGTTAGTCTGGCTTCTGGGAATCTACATGACTTCTTGAGCTGTTTTCATGCACATCAGTATGCATGTTCATAAAGTGTCATATTTTTCTGAAACAAATTGTACCAACCTCTTACTTGAAATATATATTTCTTTGACTTTTTTAAGGCACCTTTCTTGGATGTTCTCAACACCATGATGGACACTACGCTCCCTCTGACATTAGAAGAATTAGAAGAATGGGGGAATCCTTCATCTGATGAAAAACACAAGAAATACATAAAACGTTACTGTCCCTATCAAAATATTAAACCTCAGGTAGTGAAAGACAGTTATGTTATACTATCCTTAAGTGATAGAGAAGATAATCAGAAAGATACTTAACTGAGCTGAGGCAGAAATTAGTATGACTTTAGAGATGCTTCTATTTATCAAACCCAAATGTATTTCTGCACCATCTCTTTTCATGTTCTATGTTTGTTTCAATTTAATACCTCAGGAGAATAGAATTATGCCTTAATTACTAAATTAGATAAGGTCCTGGTCTCTTTAGTCAAGAAAAGGTTATGCCAGGTTACAGGTTGTCTTGGTACTATGGTACTGAGGCTGTCTCAAGAATACCAAATGACCCACTTAGGGGAAAAGAATTGGAGGTAATTATTTTTTTACAGTAGAAAGCAACCTATGGAATAATGTAAACCCTTTGTACATGTGTTTTCTTTTAGCATTATCCTTCAGTCCACATAACAGCTTATGAAAATGATGAGCGTGTACCTCTGAAAGGAATTGTAAACTACACTGAGAAACTCAAGAAAGCTGTCATGAATCATACTAAGAACACAGGTGAAGGTAGGCGACTTCCTAGAAATAGGGAACTTGACCAAACAGACAAGTACCCTCAGCACACTGCTCAGAGTCATACATTTCATGCTATGACCAAATCATCTGCCCAGAATTTAGGACAGACAGTTGTTTTCCTCTGTTGACTACCCAGTTGAAGTGTATACAACTGTAAATGCCTCACCTCTTTTTCAAAGTACAGTATTAAAATTAGGTAGGCAGGACTCAAAGAAAAAAGTAAATTTAAATATCAAATATAACTTGGAGATAGACTATCATACAACCACTCATTCATTTAGCAATACTTATTTATTGAGCCATTATTCTTGGGAATCTCTAAAAGATTCTGAAGTTTTGCTTTGGCGCATTAGTGCCCAAACTAGCTGCTTTAATTTCTGCTAGATAATTATTTCAGTTTTACTAGGTAAGAACTTCTTCCAAGATATACTGGGTTCAAGGGCAAGGGAGACGCACATACAAGTCAGTTTTCCAATATTCAGCTCTATTTCTCAGTCCCACCTATTGCAATATTGATGTTTCCAGGGCATAGGACTCTCAGAGATCCATAGGGCCACTCACCTGTCTCCTAGGTCACAGGCTTCTCCGTGTTATGCTACAGTCTCTTCCCTCCAGCATCCTCTGCCTCAGGCCTCTTCCTGCTTTCCTAGTTTTAGAAATGTGTCTTTTACAACTTGCTCATCTCTTGGTTGTTGGTAATGATGGTTGTTTTTGTCTTTATTCTTTTGCTATTATTTAAATACAGTGCTCAAAAGGAGAGGGGAGAGATGGGTCGCAATCTTCCAAAGACCTTCTAATTGTTTTATATGTTAACTTTTTCAGGCTATCAGGCCCCCAATATTATTTTAGATATTCAGCCTGGAGGCAATCACGTTATTGAGGATTCTCAAAAAAAGGTACGTTATCAAGCCCCTCTCAGTTGTCAGATTCCCGAAGTAGAGATGTGTTGTATTTACACTTTCAGTAATTGTAGCAGGGTTTATGGCAAATTTGCTTCAGAAATGTCAGGTCTATGGCTGAGACCCAGAAGGGGGAGGGAAGGACGCTGTGTCATTGAAGAGGAAAGGCTCTCTCATAGTTGATAAGTGAACTCTGTTAAAGACAATAATTGAATCTTAATTGTTGGAAGCCTTCTGGCTCTTTCCTGAATAAAAGTATTCTGGCCATAAATTGCTGACTTTAGGGAGACAAAGAGAAGCTTAAACACTGGAGTTTTACCACAAAGACCCTCTGTCTAATTTTTTTTTAATGTATTTCTTTTAGATCACAGCCCAAATTAAATTCCTATATGAAGAACTTGGACTTGACAGCACCACTGTTTTTGAGAATCTTAAGAAATATCTAAAATTCTGAAATGGTACATTCAACTGGGAATTGGAAATACTGAAATAATTCATAGTCTGCTTTCCAATTGAGTTAGCAAAAGTCAGGTTTTCAGATAACTAATGTTTTTAAATGTGCTTCTCCATCTAAAATTTTGCTTAGTCTACATCTCACTTGCTTTTACTATTCTCTCCATTGATGCACATGCCTGTTAACCTAGGAAAGCTGTTTTCAAGCCATGCTCCTCAGAAAGACGTGGAGTAGGAGGCTAGGGAAGGACTTCTGACAGCAAAGACCTCTAGACCTCGCTTCCAGTCAGAACAGCTTGCTTTTGTCTGTCTTGTCTTAACTAGGAATTTCTTTATTCGTTTCCAAACCAGCATCCTGCCTCTTTGCTAGTGAATGTTTTTAGACATGGCAGTGTCATCCTCCACTTTCTATGATTGCATTTTAGGGGAAAAGATAGTATTCTTCCCACTGAAAATTCACTTAGAACTTTTGAATAATCTGGGGTCCTAATTTTCGTCTCCTCTCATTGATGATCTCTCATTTGGTCTCTCATTGATGCTATCCAATAAACTTACAGTTTCCTACAAGCGATACTTTTCTTTTAAACATTTTATTTTAGCAAAACATTTGAGAACTTTTCCTAAAGCGGTTACATTCAAGCTACAGAAATATCTAAGAATTAATGATCGATCTTAAAGTTGACCCAGCAGCAGGCTGTACATGAAGCTACTGCAAATGATTATAATCCCAACAGAAACCAGTATCTTCATCTCTTTCATAGAGGTGCCTAGCACACGCTGTACAGTATGTTCAGTACACTGGAATAACATGCCTGACTAGAAACAAAGCATCTGTCTCTGAAGGCTGTTTGATGATGAAGGAGATTCTTCATGTTGTGTTCAAGGATGAGTCCCTCTCCCTTGTCCAGAAAAATGCCCCTCGTATCAACCTCACTGCCTTTTTTGGCAGAATTGGTACTTAATCTTATTCTCAGTCTTGAGGGAAGGTATGAAATCATTTCTTGTAGATTTAGCAGTGTTGATTCTCCAAAATTCAGAACCACGATGAAGACTCTGTTTATGCCATCCAGCTCTCTTGTGTACACAACAGAGTGGCTGTCATTCCTCAAAAGGCAAAACCAGCCTCTGCTGAGGAGCAGCTCATTGGCATGAAGTAGACTTAACTCTTGATATAACTTCAAAGCCGATCCAGGCTGAGTCTTTTGGGCCTATTTTTAAAAAGAGTATTTAAATAAATGTTTGATCTTAATAATTGTTTTTAAATATTTTTAGTATCTTGTAAAGAATTATTTCCCCAGAATACTTGCTTCAGTTGTGCCCCTTAAAATAACTACCAATTTGTAAGCATTAATAAATGGATAAGAATAAGTTACATTAAAATAGACAACTAATACAAATTCAGGGTTTCAATTGTCTGGGAGTCATCGCAGCATGCACAGTGCTCTGCCACGTCATAGAGTTTCTGTAGAGACCAAATTGACTCAACTTTAGGAATCCCTAAACAGATGTCCTTATCTAAGTTAATGAATATTTAACTTACCTAAATATAGTTACTCTTGCTATATTGTAACTGCCAAACGCCTAAAAGAGAAGTCTACTGTGGCAGTGGACTCAGACTTCTGATGAACTTGGGCCTAATTTGTTTTCTTTTGTAGAATATGTAAGTTGCTGTTGTACAAAGATCATGTAACTTAGCAGATATGTATTTCTTGCATAGCTAATGATGGAACAGAAAGTTTCAAAAAACAATACAAAGCAAAAAGCTGCCTAATGTGAAATTGTAGATTTCTTTTTTTTTTTTTTGAGTTGGAGTCTCACTCAGTCGCCCAGACTGGAGTGCAGTGGCCGCTCCTGGCCACCGCAGCCTCGCCTGCTGGGCTCCGGTGATCCTTCCACCTCAGCCTTCTGAGTAGCCGGAATTACAGGCATGTGCTACCACACCCGGCTGATTTTTTGATTTATTGTAGAGGTGAGGTCTTGCTGCCCAGGTGGGTCTCGAACCCGCGGGCTCAGGCAATCCACTCACCTCAGCCTCCCAAAGGCGTGGGATTACAGGCTGAGCCACCGAGCCCACTTTTTTTTTTTTTTTACCATAAAAGTAGCATATGTTCATCAAAGAAGATTTGTGTATATTTTATAGCTATACATAATTTAATGACAACGTCAACTTGCTTTTTCTTTGGCATTTCAAGCATTTTCCTGTTTTGTAGCCTTCATAAATGTCATTTAAATGACAGAATAATAGTCTGTGGAATGGTTGTACCACATTTAACCATTCCCTTTCATCTTAACATTTGTGTTCCTGGTATTTTCTTCTATTGTATTCCCCTCCCCCAGTATTTTGTATTATTTATTTAGAATAGCTTATCAGAAACAATTACTTTGTCAAAGAATATAGGCAACGTGATACATAATGCCAAATTATTCATAAGAGCTGTTGCCAAATCAATGAAAATGTTCGTATCATTGTACTCTTGCCATCTATGTTTACTGGGGTGGCGGTTGTTGTTCTTGTTGTTCTTCTTCCTTAGGGGTGGGTGCCTAATATGTGTTCCTTAATGACTAATTAATGGATGTTTGAAAAACTATTTATTCTCTGTTTATCAGGTACAAAGGTATTTATGGTACATGTATATGACTTGTTGAAATCATTACTTACATTTTCTCTAGCCTTAGATAATGCATGAGAAGCATATAGTTCAGTGCCACTCACGTAAGAAGTGTCCAGTAAGTGTTAGCTATTATTTTTGTCTATTTGAGTTATCCCTTTCTAGAAGTATGTTGAAGTCTATTCTGGTAATTGTGGATTTGTCAGTTTCTCTTTGCATTTCTCAGAGTTCTTGTTTTTGTATATTTTGAAGCTATTGTTAGATGCATAACAATTCATGATTTTTAGTGGAATGTTCTTTTATCAACTTTTTGAAAGTTGCCTTTGTGTCATAGTATGCTTTTCATAGTGAATTCTATTTTGTCTGCTATTAAATATTTCAAAGCCTGCTTTTTGTAACTTTATTTTTGACTAGGAAATGCATGCATATAGTATAAAATTCAATACAAGAAGAAATATACAATATAAAGGTTTTCTTTTAACACCATTCCCTAGCCTCCCAGCTCCCATCCTGGAGACCGACATTATTAGACAGACACTATTCCTATTTATGTGTTCTCTTGTTTTTATGCATCAAATAAAATGATATATTCTGTGTCTATGCAAACATATGTAGATATATTTTTCCTCCCTTTACACAAATGGCATGTTACCATTCTATTCTCTTTTTTATTATTTAATACATACTACAAATGGTCTCATATCAATGTATATAGAACTCCCTCATTATCTTTTTAAAAGGCGTGCTAGTCTCATCATTGAACTGATTTTCTGTTGATAACATATTTAAATCATTTCTAGAGTCTTCTGCTATTAAAAACAGTGCTGCAGTCGAGATTCCTTGCATATGTATCATTTTGCACATGTGGAAGTGTTCCTAGATACAAATATGTGGGCATGGAATGACTAGGTCAAAAGGTATATGTGCTTGCCTTACATTACCAGACTTAATACTTCATGAGTATGGACTAAACAGTTTGGTTGGGATGACCTCAGAGCATAACGAAACCTCCAAATGATGTCAACCTAGACTAGACCAGTCTAAGCAAGAGATCACTTATTGACCCAAATTATGGGGTCGAGTTACCTGGAAATAACAGTGCAATCCTGTTCTAGAGTTCATATTGACAATAGAATCCACAACCTCCATGTTGGATCAGAACATCCCAATGGTATAACTAGTATTAATGGTTCGTTCATTCAGTGATTAAAGTCCTATGTGATCTGAGTTCAGACTGAAGTACTACAGGTTAGTTTCTATCTGTTTTTTTCTCCCAGTATGAAAGAACAAGAGAAATAGGGCCTACTTCAACCAAGCATCCTAAATTTAACAGAAGAAATAATCTAAATCTAATAAATTAATTTTCATTACCCTGCCCAAGAAGAAGGTTCGTTTAGATGGCAGAGCCCAGTGATTGCATAAACTTAAAACTTTAGAATCAGAGGTTCAACTCCTCTTCTTAACAATTTGTTCATAATCACTTTCCTTGGCTCTCACTGATTACTAATCTGAGTTGGACTAGAAATAAATATACTAGCCATTATTCCTATTTTAATTTTTAAAAAAAGCTAATCCCCAATCAACTGAGGCTGACACCAAATATTTTCTTATTCAAGCCACAGCGTCTATACTTCTTATAATAACCATATTTAACTCCTCCTGATTATCCCCGCTATCCTTGCTATAGCATTTCTAACATTAGTTGAACGAGAGGTCCTAGGCTATATACAACTTCATAAATAACCCAACATCCTTGGTCCATATGGCGTTCTGCAACCCTTCACTGACGCTATGAAACTTCATCCAGCAACTCACGTCATCATCCCTCCTATATATCATCACCTTATCCTTTGCCCTCCTTATGTGAATCTCTCTCCCTATGCCTCACCTCCTCATTAACATTAACATAATGGAGTCCTGTTTATTTTGGTGACATCCAGTCTGGCGATCTACTCAATTCTTTGATCAGGGTGAGCATCTAACTCTTAAATATGCATTAATTGGCGCACTCTGAGCAGTAGCCCAAGCAATCTCATATGAAGTTACTCTGGCTATTATTCTTTTGGCAGTTCTTCTAATAAATGGGTTTTTCACACTATCAGCCCCTATTACAGCCCAAGAATACTCCTGAATAATTCATCATGACAACTAGCTACAATATGATTTATCTCAACACTAACAGAGACCAATCGAGCACCTTTCAGCCTAACAGATGAGTCAGAATTAGTGTCAGGCTTTAATGTTGAATATGCTGCAGGGCCCTTTGCCTTGCTTGACATAGCAGAATTCACCAATATTATCACAATAAATGCTCTAACTACTATCACTTTCCTAGGAGTACTACATGATATTTTCATACCAGAAATTGTCACAATCAACTTCATAATAAAGACATCCTTACCATTCTCTTTTTATAAGAGTTCGAGCATCATATCCATGATTTCAATGTGATCAACTTATACACCTGCTATGAAAAAATGTCCTCCTTACACCAGCTCTGCACATATGACATATTTCAGTGCTCATCTGAATATCTAGTATCCCCCCACATATATAAGAAGTATGTCTGACAAAAGAGTTACTTTGCTAGAGTAAATTATGGAAGCTTAAGGCCCTCTTATTTCTAGAATTATCGGAGTTGAACCTATTCCCAAGAATTCAAAAGTATTTGTGCTACCCAATTACACCGTATTAAGCTAAATAAGGTCAGCTAAATAAGCATTGGGCTCATACCCCCAAAACATTGGTTTATATACTTCCCGTGCTAACAACCCCTTGATTTCTCCTCCATCCTCCTTACTCTCTTTATAGATTCCATAATCACGTTCCTTAGCTCTCACTGATTACTAATCTGAGTTGGACTAGAAATAAATATACTAGCCATTATCCCTATTTTAATTTTTAAAAAAAGCTAGTCCCCAATCAACTGAGGCTGACACCAAATATTTTCTTATTCAAGCCACTGCGTCTATACTTATAATAACCATAATCACAAACGATCTATACAGGACAATGAACTGTCAAACATCTTTAACCAAATATCATCCATTATGTTTGAAAAAAATGCTTTTGAAAACTATAAACTAACTACAAGCTTTCTTTTTATCATTCACCTGCTTTATCTTTAATTCATTTTGTGTCTTTTGTTTTAGCTATGTCTGCTATATCTGTATTTCATCTTCTCTAATCTGGGTGTTTTTATCTTTTAGTAGGTGAATTTAACCCATTCATATTTGTAATTATATTTAAACATAATCCTGAAGCCTTTCCTTTTTTTATTCTTCTTTTATTTATGGTTGTACTACCGTTTTGAATGTTCTCTTTTTAGTTTTTTATTGGCTCAATTATTATGTAATTTTTTCCTTCTTTGAAAATTATACATTTATGTCTATCCTTCTAATGGTTACCCTTAAAATTGTTTTTTTGGGTTTTTTTTGAGTTGGAGTCTCACTCTGTTGCCCAGACTGGAGTGCAGTGGCCACTCCCGGCCACCGCAGCCTTGACGTGCTGGGCTCCGGCGATCCTTCCAAGTAGCCGGAATTACAGGTATGCGCTACCACGCCCGCCTGATTTTTTTATTTATTGTAGAGATGAGGTCTCGCCGCCCAGGCGGGTCTTGAACCCGCGGGCTCAGGAAATCCACTCACCTCAGCCTCCCAAAGGCGCGGGATTACAGGCTGAGCCACCGAGCCCAGCTTACCCTTAACATTGTAATGATCATTTTAAAAATGTATTTGTCTCAATATCTATAATAATGCTGGCCAGTAGAACTTTTTGTAATGCTAAAATCAGTGCTGAACAATTATCATACTATAAGAAAGCGATTGGCAGTAGTGGAAAACTGTTGGGGGGATGGGATTGGCAGTTGAGGGAAACTGCTAGGGGAGGAAGGGGTATACCTCATCAACAAGCGTACCTGCATGATCAATGTTTATATACCTAACCCTGAAATGTACCCTATATCTTTATAATAAAAATAAAATCAGTGCTGTCCAATATGGTAGCCACTAGCTACTTGAAGTGTTAATGTGATACAGGAACTGAATTTTTTTTTTTTTTAATTCGGAGTCTCACTTTGGCACCCAGGCCGGACTGTAGTGGCACACTGCTCACGGCCACTGCAGCCTCAACCTGCTGGGTTCAGGTGATCCTTCCACCTCAGCCTTCCAAGTAGCTGGAACTACAGGCATGCGCCACCATGCCCAGCTAATTTTTTGATTTATTATAGAGATGAGGTCCTGCCATGTTGCCCAGGCTGGTCTCGGACCCATGGGCTCAGACAATTCTCTCGCCTCTGCCTCCCAAAGTGCTGGGATTACAGGTGTGAACCACCACGCCCGGCCAGGAACTGAATTTTTAATTCTGTTTAATTACAGTAGTCACAGCGGTTAATGGCTCCTAGACAGCACAGATCTGGAGTTCCTCATTTTCCTAGGCAAGACAAGTGCGTTAACCTACTTGCTTTCTCTCGCTTTCTTTCTTACGCACTCCCTTGCCAACACTTCCCATATAGAAACAAATCATAAGATGAGTGTCCCAGAATACCTTATTTTACATTATGCATCAAAAAGTATTCATCCTTAAGATTTGTTGTTTCCTTTTCCTTGGTATTTTTTTATACGTTGTTTCTCCCTTTTAGATTCGTTTTTTGTTTTCTTGGAGTCCTTTGATTATTCTTTCAGAAAGGAGTGACATGGTTAAATTTGGGCCCTTGCTATTTCATTGCTATTTTGCTCTTAAATACTAGTTTGAATAGATGTAGGATTCTAGGTTTAGAGCAGTTTCCATTACAGCTTTGAAGGTAAGAGCTCTAATGTGCTTTAGTATTCATTTGAGACATCTGATACCAGCCCAATTATCAATCCTTTTCTCAGGCAATCTATTTTCAGGTTTGATTTCTTTCTGAGTACTTATGTAGTTTTCTCTTTATCCTTACCATTCTAAAAGAAGGTAAAGTTTTCCTTTATCTCTGGGTTATTATATGTGTTTTGTTTCTTTGATTATATGTGTCCTTCAATCTCTGTTCTTGTCTACAATTTTTTGTTGTTGTATGTTGGAATTCTAGGTCTATCTTCCACATACCAAGAGTTTTTTTCTTACACTCTTAACTTCTTTGCCTTTTTTTTCCAGTGCATTCTAGACAAGTCCCTGCATCAATTTTCTGGCACACTAATTAGCACTTCTGTTTCATTGTTTATTTTGACAACATTTTACATTTCTGAGGTGTCTAATCTAGAGAGTATCAAGGAACTCCTTAAAACAGTCTGCTGGAGGTATAATAATACAATATAATGCTTGTGTTGAAGTCTTATGATTGCTCTATTTCTCTGCTTTCTACAGTGTTCTGTTAGAACTGGTGTCTCCCTTTCATGGTCTAGGTTTTTCTCAAATATTGCTGTGATTCTTGGTGATCTGCTTGCTCTTATGTTTTGATCTTCCTTGTTTGCCTGTATTCAATAGCCTGCCTCTTGTAAATGTGAGAAGCCAGCTTGAATGTGGGTCTGTCTTGTCTTTGGGATATAGTGTTCTTTTCCTACGTAGGGTGATAAGTTTGCTGGAGTCCTGCCCTCCTTTCCTCTGTGAGCTGAATGGTACAAGCTCTTGTTTCTGAGAGCATTCCACAGTTAGCTAGGAAACAGGTCTTCTTTTCTTGCTTCTGCTGCACTTGTAGGAGTTGGAAGCTCCTATAAGCTATTTTAAACCTTCTCTACTCATTCCAACATGCATGTCATTACCAAAAGGGCCTTGGACTTTTCTTTCCTTGGGAAATTCTGCTGCAGCCAATTGCAGCAATTTAAGAAATCTCTAGAGTGGTCTTACCTGTCCCTGTTAGAGCTGTTTTCTTCTGTGTGTTTCTGTACTCTGTACTCTTGTTTCTCTGTAATGCTAATTTAACTTTCTTTTAAAAATTACTTAAATTCTTATATGTTAGTGGCATCATTCCTTCCTAGGGCATTTGGTTGTATTTTATTAAAATGGCATTGCCTGAAACTTACCCCTCCAGACTTCATTCATGATCACTTTTAAAGACTGTACTAATCTGACAGGGAAAAAAAAGTCATTTTTTTAATTTGCATTAGCATTTTTCCGTGTTTAGTGGTATGCTTTTTTTTTTTTTTTTTTTTTTTGAGTTTTTGTCTCACTCTGTTGCCCAGACTGGAGTGCAGTGGCATATTCATGGCCACCCCAGCATCGACCTGATGGGCTCCGGCGTTCCTTCCACCTCAACTTTCCAAGTAGTCAGAACCACAAGCATGCACTACCACACCCAGCTAATTTTTGATTTATTGCAGAGATAAGGTCTCGCCAAGTTGCCCGGGCTGGTCTTGAATCCACGGGCTCAGACAGTCCACTCGCCTTGGCCTCCCAAAGTGCTGGGATTACAGGCTGAGCCACCGAGCCTGGCCAGTGGTATGCATTTTTATGTAGGTTTTCTCACATATTGGACTTAAATTGGCCTATGAGAATATTTTGGACATAATGAAAATCAGGCTGGGCATGATGGCTCATGCCTATAATCCCAAGCACTTTGGGAGGCCAAAGCAGGCGGATTGTTTGAGGCTAGGAGTCCAAGACCAGCCTGAACAACATAATGAGATTGCATCTCTTTTTTTCTTTTTTTTTTTGGAGTTGGAGTCTCACCTCTGTTGCCCAGGCTGGAGTGGCACGATCATGGCCATCGCAGCCTCTACTTGCTGGGCTCAGGTGATCCTTCCACCTCAGCCTTCCAAGTAGCTGTAACAACAGACATGTGCCACCAACACCTGGCTAATTTGTTTATTTTAATTGTAGAGACGAGGTCTTGCCAAGTTACACAGCCTGTTCTCGAACACCTGGGCTCAGGCAATCTTCTTGCCTCTGCCTCCCAAAGTACAGGGATTACAGACATGAGTAGTGGGATTACAGACATGAGCCCAGTCAATTTTTTTTTTATTTAAAAAATAAAAATCAATAGAGGTATTCAATTCAATCACAGATGTTAAATATATATTTTGTATTTCCAAAACCTACAACCATATAAAGCAAAGCTTATCCTATCCAGGAATTCTCAGTGATGCTTAGAGTGTGAAGTTGTGGGAACAGGAGGGTTTATGTGAAGTTCTTTTATCTGAATAACCTGGGAAGTTTTTTCAGATTATTTAGTGATGAGAGGGTACTATAAATTTCTCAAATGTCCTTATGTGATGCCAATAATTTATCTTCTCCTAAATAGGTTTAGATGGTTTTCCAGTGAAATTTTCCCTAGTGTATGATCAATTTCATTAGGGTTTGATCACTATGAGAACAGAAAGGTATAGGAAAAAGCCAAAGGGTGTGCTATTGCCTACACTTCAGTATTAGCATGCCAGAACAGCTACTTCAGGGACAATTCATGGCTTCTCTTTCTTCAGGTAAACAACCCGCCCTTGAGTCCATGTTGCCCTAGGTTTATTGATTGATCCTCTGTCTTGCCTGCGTGTGCGCCTGCCTACCTACCCGCCTCCCTTCCCGCCTTTTGAAGAGAAGAGAGGAAGAAAGGTAGCTGTGCTTACTGAAAAACTTACATAAAATTTCCTTCACAAGCAAAGGTCTTAGTAAAGATCATTTCAGTGTAGAGTTGTTGCATGTGCTGTATGGTTACTTCTCTGGCAAACTTGTGTACCAGTTTATAATTTTACAAAAACATGATTTGCAGACTCCTTACAAATTGAATTTGCAAGGGAAGCCTGTGATTGATTTAAAAAGTAACAGCTAAGATATTAGACATATTCAGAGTGAGTGTTGTCAGTACAGAAACCCATTTCTTTACACATACATATTTTTAAATGTTTTAATTTTTTCCCATTTCTTGTTTCTAGAATCAACATAAAGTTTTCATTGATACTTACGTCAACATTCACAGTGTGGTAGTCTGAATGGGTGGGTAGCCAGGTGTGACTGGCCTCAGAAAAACCAGCATTTGAGCTATTATCCCATTGCATTGGTGACTTTGAGAGAAGGGTATCCTATGACAAAGGACCAGAAGGAGAAAACAGTGATCTGGTTATTAAAAGAAGTGTGCTTTGGACCTGATTTACTTCCTAAGTATTTAATTCCCGGTAGTTCTTAGTTTTTGATTTGGGGCTATTATTTATTCAGATGATTGTAATTGTATTCATTAGTGTTCATAATGAAAAGGCCTTAACAATCAGTATGTAAACCATGTTTACACTTTTAATTGAAAAATAGCTAATAATATCTTGAGTTTGAATAGACTATACTAATTGTTGAACTACAGTACACTTGGAATCTTGGCTGCTTTTCTGCAAAAATGAGTAATGTAGCATTTCAAAATGTGCTATTACCAACTCATACTATTTCATTCTACTATGGTACAATGATGGTGATTTTAAGAATACTGCCGTGTACAAGGGAGGCTGAATTCTATCCTACTCGTTTATCCAGCCTGGTTATTGCTTATGGGTACACACACACAAATTAAAGAGCTGATAGAGAAAAAGCTTCTCCTTAGTCAAATATTAGGGAAATTGGATCTCAAATAATTGAAAGGTAACCATGCAAGTTAAAGGTTCAAGATCAGTCATCTACCCAGCAACACACTTGTGAAATATACAGCCTCAAACAAAAATAAAAACCATTCAACTCTGAGATTGTGTACTGCACTTGGTAACGTAAAAGGAGTCTGTGCTATGTTCACCGAAGATCTAGCAAGACAAATAAGAACTAAAGAAAGAAACGTTCCTAATTCGATGTTGCAAATAGAGGGCAATGAATGATTTTCAAAACTAAACCACTGATGCTCATATTTGACTGTACCTCTCAATGCAGCATTCCTGATCAAAAAAATAATAACGAACTTTAGTGTGCCTAAGAATCAGGTGGAAAACCTCTTTCAATGCAAATTCCTGGACTCTACATTCAGTTGGGTGGCTCAGAAAGCAGCATTTTTTAAATAAGCTTCCAAGCCACCAAGAAAACTGAGAATTCTTACTAACAATGAGAAGGAAAAGCAAAGTCACCATGATTTTCAGCAATGGAATAGAGATAGAAAGTTCTCTGATTTTGCTAAAAAAAAAAATAATAATAATTGGTTTTACAGCTGTGGTGCATGGTCAAGTTGTAGTAAACTTACAGTATTATAGCTTTCATTGATATTTGTGGCTACAATATTTCCCATTCCTATTTCTTCTCCATAATAAGTTATGGGAGTTCCAGGGAGTGTGAAAAGAAGCATGTGCATCGTGTTGACATACTCATTCCCCCAACGAGAGGTCAGCCGGGAATTGTCTGGTCCACCAATCTGAAAGGCAGATATTTTTAAGAACACAGCTCTATTCACATGCAGTCCAGAAGATTTCACCGACGATTCACCAGGCAGAAAAACAAGGGAGCTATGACTACCTTGATATCAGCAAGCCTGCACTCAAGTCCTTTGTCTGCTACTTCCTTTGTAACTGGCCAACTTACCGTATTAGAGGGTGCATATTCATATTTTCTCACATTTGAATAAGAGAATATTGACAGGAAAGGAAACAAAAATGTTTCCTCCATAGAGAGAAAGACATGGGAATAAGGTGGAAGAGACAGACATGGGAGAGAGACTTCTGGTGTGTTTTCTTTTTAAAAATTGTCTTGATTTATTAACTACTCAAAACAAAATTTTAAAGGTAAATCAACTTTTGATTTACAAGAGAAATGTACATGATCCAAGATGAAATTTTGTAAAGTGTTTTCTATTTTTAAATACATGAGAATATTTCTAGGCTGGGCATGGTGGCTCACACCTATAATCCCAGCACTTTGGGAGGTCAAAACAAGAGGATTGCTTGAGCCAAGGACTTCAAGACCAGCTAGGCAACATGGCAAGACTTCATCTCTACAAAAAAAATCCAAAATAAATTAGCTCAGCATGGTAGCATGCACCTGTAGTCCCAGCTACTTGGGAGACTGAGGCAGAAGGATCACCTGAGCCCAGAAGTTTGAGGCTGCAGTAAGCCATGATCGTGCCACTGCATTCCCACCTGGGTGATAGAGTGGGACTTTGACTCGAAAAAAAAAGAGTCCCTGGTCACAGAGTGCTCCTCTGTCTGCCTTGAACCTGGAACCAGAGTCTTGGAAGGCAGGACAGACCGACCATAGGTAGACACACAGGTCCTGGTCAAGCCCCCATAGTAAATTAAATAAATAATTATATTTCCATGTTAAGTGCTCTAGGTACATTTTATAACATCTACTCTTTATTTAAATAAGAGTTTATTTAAATCACCTGACAACTCTTCCCATAACACAACTCAACTCTCACGTGCATATGCTAAGCATGACACTTCACTGTTTAAAAAGTACTTTCACACCTATATCTTATTTCCCTCCTCCACCACAGTGCTATCACAATGCTATCCAGTATTATCTCCACTTTACAAATCATGAAACGAGCTCTGAGAAATTGCATCACCTATTCATGTAACAGTATGAGACAGAACCTATCTTTGAATTTGATTCTTAGAACAAGAAACTGATTGCTATAATTCAGGAAAAGGGAGGTCGCTTTTTTTATTTCCTTAGATGTCCTAACCATGATCTTTCTATTTCTTACAGACCATTGTATTTATCTATTTTTATGGCCAGAAAGGTCAATTTTTGACACCTTTTTATTCTTTTAATTATCATGAGATCTTCTGACAAGAAACCCTGTGATTTCTCAAGCCTTCTGGACATAGAGTACATTTTTTTTTTTTTAAGAATTGAAATCAGGGAAGTATTTCCAAAAGTAGTTCACAGCAGTGGTCACAGATCAGGGCCTCTTACAGGCTGAAGGAGGTCCCAGTCACTTGCAATACTAGAGACTTTGAGTAGATTAAAAAATAAAAGCTAAAAAACTACATTATAAAATTTGTGATAAAGAAGGAACTTCCAGAATGGCAGAGTAAGAAACTCCAAACGTCCTCATTAAAAAAAAAGAAGAAGAATGCTTGCAAAAACTGTAAAAAAAAAAAAAAAAAATTCACTTTTTTCAGAATTCTTGAAATTAAAAATCCAAGGGATATTCAAGAAAAACAGAAGGATCTCAATAAGACCAATGAACTTTGTAGTATTTGCCCTAATCTTATGTTTCTCCTCAGATTCATGAGGCCTTGAAAACTACTGTAGCTATGAAAATTAGCAGCCTAGTAGCCACTGAAATAGGTTTCAAGTTTATCAAAAGCTACATCTGATTGGAAGGCTGAGGCAGAAAGATCGCCTAAGCCTGACAGGTCAAGGCTACAGTGGCCGTGAGTGTGCTACTGCACTCCAGCCTGGGTGACAGAGTGAGACTCCAACTCAAAAAAAAAAGCTGCATCCAGAGAACTGTCATTATTTGACCTTTCTCGTGGCTCACTTTTAGTTGGGTGTTTTCTTTATCTGCTCTGACTCAGAGCTGACTCTGCGAACAACAGCCTTATCTCTGGGGCATTTGCTGGAAAAAAAATATATCAGCAGCAATTATATAAGACTGCATCTACCTGTAGTGGTGTTACCAACTGGGGATAACCAGAAGCTGACCAAAAATATGAAAATGAGAATGAGATGTCCATAAAGGGCTTTCAAAAGTTCCAACACATTGCTGGGAATCTAGAAGGCTACACTCATCATGTACAGAACTGTGTGCATGAAGAGGGTTGGGCAGATGTTCAATGAAGACCTGAGAAGGTGCTAAGCTCTAACCTCTGGCTAACCTTAGGGCTCTGTGCAAGTAGAAAATTAAGACTAAGTTACAGTTGTAAATTGCAATCAGTAGCTGACCAAGCAAAGACTCCTGGTCACACAAAACAAAGAAAGTCATTAAAGAAAAACAAAACAATAATGATAGCAACAACCACCAGGGAAGGAAGAATGTGATTTCCAGACCGCCACACTATTATAAATATCCAGTTTTCAACAACAAAAATACAAAACATTCAAATAAACAGGAAAATATGACCCATACATTGTGGGGGGGATAAGTAGTTGATAGAAAATGTTGCCAAAGAAAACCAAACATTGGACTTACTAGACAAAGACTTTATATCAGCTATTATACATATGTTCAAGATACAAAGCTTAGTTAAGTGATTACTTGGTTAAGTAATGTGAACAATATCTCATCAAATAGATATTATCAATAGAGAAAAATTATGGAACGTAATCATATAGAAATTTTGGAGTTTAAAAGTACAATAACCAGCCGGGCTCGGTGGCTCAGCCTGTAATCCCGCGCCTTTGGGAGGCTGAGGTGAGTGGATTACCTGAGCCCGCGGGTTCGAGACCCACCTGGGCAGCGAGACCTCATCTCTACAATAAATCAAAAATCAGCCAGGTGTGGTAGCGCGCACCTGTAATTCCGGCTACTCGGAAGGCTGAGGCGGAAGGATTGCCAGAGCCCAGTGGGTCAAGGCTGCAGTGGCCGGGAGCAGCCACTGCACTCCAGTCTGGGCGATGGAGTGAAACTCCAACTAAAAAAAAGAAAAGAAAAGAAAAAAAAAGTACAATAACCGAAACAAAAAGTTAATTCTAGAGGGGATTGACAAATTTAAACTAGCAAAGGAATCAAAAAATTGAAAGACAAGTCAATTGAGAGAAACTAGTCTGAGAACCAGAAATAAAAGAATGAAGAAAAAAGAGCAGAGTCTCCAAGACCCATGGGATAGCATCATGCATACCAACATACGCAAAATGAGAGTCTCAAAAGAAGAGAAGAGAGAGAAATGGACAGAAATCATATTTTAAAAAATAATGGCCAACAATTTCCCAAATTTGAGAAAAGGCAATCTGTACATTCAAGAAACCCATTGAATTCCAAGTAAGAAGAAAATTTTCAAAACCCACATCTAGACTATCAGTAAACTGTTAAAAGATACAGAAAGCATCTTTAAAAGTGCAAAGAAAATTGTCACATCACATATAAGGAAATCTCAATAAGATTAGTTCTGACCTCCCATCAAACCATGGACGCTAGAACGCAGTGGGATGACATATTCAAAGTGATGAAAGAAAAAATTGTGAGCCAAGAATCCTATAATCAGAAAGACTGTCCTTCAATAGTGAAAGAGAAATAAGATACCACTTCACACATACTGTGATGGGTATATATATATTTTAGATTAGAGAATATAGTTTATTTTAAAAGTAAATTAGAGAGGGAGAGAGAGGAGATTTACCTCCCCAAGGTAGAGGAGGAGGCCAAAGCCAGGAAGCATGCCGACAGCCATAGCTCAAAGAGCACATGACCCCACCAGAGTCTAGCAAGGCAATGGCAGCAATATTCTGGCAATGGCGGATGGGTATAATTTTTAAAACCAGATCAGAAAATAACAAGTGCTGGTAAGGATGTGGAGAAAATTGGAACCTTTGTGCATTGTTGATGGGAATGTAAAATGGGCAAATCACTATGGAAAACAGTTTGGCAGTTCCACAACAAGTTAAACATAGAGGTACTATACAATCCAGCAATTCCACTCTGAGATATATACACAAAAGAATTGAAAGTAGGGGATCAAGCAAATGCTTGTACACCAATGTTCATAGCATCATTTATCCCAATAACCAAAAGGAGGAAACAACCCTCATGTCTATCAAGAAATGAATCAACAAACAAAATGTAGTATTTACATAAAATGGAATGCTATTCAACCACATAAAGGAACGAATTCCCGATACATGCTTTCATATAAAGGACTTTTGAGAATATTATGCTAAGTGAAATAAACCAAACACAAAAGGACAAATAGTGTATAATTTCACTTATATGAGGGATAGAAAGTATCTTACATATAAACCTTCAAGTTGCGAACTTTCAAAGATGCAGATGTGCGTTTGCATGTCCAATCATGTAAGTGATTTCACATATCTGGTGTATGTCACGTGCTGTACTGTAAGATTAAAATGTATTTTTGTGATTGTTTGTTATGTATTATTTGTGTGAAAAGTATTATAAACCTATTATAGTACAGTACTATATAGCTGATTGTGTTAGATACCTAGGCTAATTTTGTGGACTTACGAATGACTTTTCAGAACAGAACCTGTTCATATGTAGTGGACTTACTGTACCTGGAATAGGCAAATTTATAGAAGTAGAAAATAGAATAGAGGATACCAGGGTTAGTGGTGGGGGTAAGGAGTATTATTAGTGGATATTGATTTTCCGTTTGGGATGATGAAAGCCTTCTGGAAATGGATAATTGTGACAGTTGCACAATACCAGGTGTACTTAATGCCACTGAAATATTATGTATATTTTACCACAACTTTTAAGAGCCACAGAAATTTTCTCAGGAACTCCCAATAAACTATTAGGAACCAATAAGCAAGTTTAGCAGTTTTGAAGGCTACAAGAACCATATACATTATTTCTATACACTAAGAATAAACAACCCAAAAATGAAATTAAGAAAATTCCACTTACAATAACATCAAAAGAATAAAATATGTAGGAATAAGTTGAACAAAAACTGCCATACACTGAAAAATAGAAAATATCCTTGAAAGAAAGAAGAAAACCTAAATAAATGAAGAGACATCTCTGTTCATGGACTGCAAGGACTTAATATTATTAAGATGGCATGACTACCGAAAGTGATTTACAGACTCAATGCAATCCCTATCAAAATCCCAGTTGGCTTTCTTGATAGAAATTGAGAAGCTGGGCTGAGCACGATGGCTTATGCCTGTAATCCCAGTAAATTTGTGAGACTGATGTGGCAGGATTGCTTGAGCCTAGGAGTTTGAGACCAGCCTGAGCAACATAGGGAGACCTCATCTCTACAAAAAATATATTAGCTGGGCGTGGTGGTGTGCACCTGTCCTAGTTACTCACGAAGGCTGAGGTGGAAGGATCTCCTGAATAGAGCCGTGATTGTGCCGCTGCACTCTAGTCTGGACAACAGAGTGAGACCCTGACTAGAAAGAAAGAAAAAGAGGAGACATGAGGGAGGAGGAGGGGGAGGGAGAGGAGAGGAGAGGAACTAAGAAGCTGATTCTAACATTTATTTAGAAATGTAAGGGACTCAGAAGAGCTAACACAATCTTGAAAAATAAAAATTAAAAAAATGAGAGAATTCACACTTCCCCATTTCAAAACATACTACAAAGCTGTGGCAATCAACTCAGTGATTCTGGCATAAAACAGATATAGAGATTAACAGAATCAAGAGTCCAGAAGTATATTTATGATCAACTGATTTTCAGCAAGGGTTCCAGGACAATTCAATGAGGAAAAGAAGAGTCTTTTTAGCATATGGTGCTGGATAAATGGACTAGACAATGGTTTATGAAATGTAACACTAAAAGCTCAGGCAACAACAATAACAAAATAATTAATTGGACTTCATCAAAATTAAAAACTTTTATGCTTCAAAGGATACCATCAAGAAATTTCAAGAAAGCCGACAAAGTGAGAGAAAATACTTGCTAATCATCTATCTAGACTATATCATGAACTCTTACAACTAAACAATAAAAAGACAACACAATTTAATAATAGGCAAAGAATTTGAATAGATATTTCTCTAAAGAAGACATGCAAATCTCCAATAAGCCATTATGGAAATGCAAAAAAACACAATTATGTAACACCTGACACCCACTAAGATGACCATAACCAAAAAGACCATTACAAGCATTGATGAGATGTGGAAAAATTGGAACCCTCATAACACTGCTGGTGGGAATATAAAATGTTGCAGCTACTTTGGAAAAACAGTTTAGCAGTTTCTAAAATAGTTAAATGGAGACTTACCATGTGCGCAGTGGAGCAATTCCACTCCTGGATATATACCAAAGAGAACTGAAGACATATGCTCATATAAACTTAAACACAAATGTCCATAGCTGTATTATTCATATTTGTTCAAAAGGGAGAAAAACCCACATTTCTGTCAATTCATGAATGGATAAACAAAATGAGCTTTATGAGAATATTATTCAGTCATAAAAAAGATTGATTTGCTGATACATGCTATAACACGGATAAACTTTGAAAACATTACACTAAGTGAAATATAAAGACTCAAAAGGCCACATATTGTATGATTCCATTTATACAAAATGTCCAGAATAGGCAAATCATAGAGAGGCAAATGTCCAGAATAGGCAAATCATAGAGAGAGAAAGTAAGTGATCACCAGAGGCTGGGGACAGAGGGAGGGGCCCATGTGGAGTATGGGTATACAGTTTCTTTGGGGGGGTGATGAAAATGTTCTGGAATTAGAAATTGGTGATGTATATACTCAAAAACACTAAATTGTACCCTTTTAAAAGGGTAAATTTTATGATATGTGAATTATATCTCAATAAAGCTGTTATTTTTTAAATTGTGGCATAGTTTTAATGCTTGTATGTAACAATTTTAGTATGCCAAATTTTGAGCCTATTTTCTCCCTGAGAAAGGTTCTGTCAATGAAAACACACATTCCTGCCAATTAGGGCATCAGAAAAGATGGAAATAAACTTAAACATGGTCCACAGATTCTGCCAGTGTTTGTTTTCTGACGAGGTTGTGTTGTCTCCATCTTTCTTCGTTCAGCTTTCGTCAGGCTGGGTGACATAGCCAGCAGGATCTGTGCTAATCATCCCGCTTTTCAGGGCCCAGCTCAAACCCACAAATACTTGGGGGGCACCACAGAAGACACTGATTTGTAGACAGCACTGTCTCCTTACAAGAAGTTACAATTTAGAGAAGGCAGATCTTTGGTAGATCACTGAACTACATGAGAATAACAGCGCTGGCAATAAACAAAATGGGAGCCTGAGCACCTCAGTGTAGGGTGGGCACCGTGCCCGTGCCCGGATGCTGGGAGCTCTGCCTCTATCCTCAGCGAGTTAACTATCTAGCAGGGAAAGCACATGTAGTGGATGTGTGTGGACTTTTAAAAAAGAGCATGAAGGAGTGTTGTGGTATACAATAGGCCGACTCAATGGCTCATTTTGGGGCTCCAGAAGGCTTCCTGGTGTGACACCCAGCAGAGTCCTAGAGGACAAGCCTGCAGCAATGGCCTAAGATGGCAGAGATGGAGAAATGGACAATTCAAAGGCCTGGAGAGGTGTTCTGGCATTTAAATTTGTAATAGAAAATAAAGGAGCATTGTCTGTTTTCTAAGCAAAAGAAACTTCCATCTTGTTTAAGCCACTGTTATTTGGGGAGTCTTAAGCAGCAGGGCTTATCTCTATAATAATGCAGGTGTTTTCTTATGGGGTCTGAGGTTGACCTCATACTCACCCAAATGAGAAGACAGAAAAATCAGGCAAGGTGTGGAAGCGAGAAGGCTGGTTTGTTACCACAGGCTTCTATCACTATATCTTCTGTTCATCACTGAAGTAATGTATTGCCAGTCTTCAAAATGTTAGGCCTTCTCAGTCAACAAGGAAGTCACATGGAATCTCAGTTTTGAAGAGTGCAGTCAGGAAAGGGGAGAAAGTCTCCTAGAATCTCTGTAATTTAAATGCCTCTGCATTCTGCCATCACAAAATGATGCTCTGTCACTGTTTTATGTCCATCCTGAATTGCTGTCTTCCATACCTGAAGTTCACTCTCTTTTCATTGAGATCATAAACTCTGAACTATGTGGGGAGGAGTTATGGCTTGATATCCATCACCCACAAAGCCTAGTTCTAAGTATACAGGAACATTCATTAAATATAAATTCAATGGAGTAGATCGTGTCTCCCCCTTAATCATGAGAACTTGACCAGAAGCTGGGACAGGCCTGGCCACTGAACAGTCACCAAATAAGATCAAGTTGAGGGTCACTTAGAGACAAAAGTCTGTCTGGTTTTAGAGGTGACCAGACAACATGAGCACCAGCACATTACATGCTGTGCTGGGCGTGAGGACTTACCATCCAATTAGGCCATTTTCCTTCTGGCATATTTTTCATCCAGGACGTGATCACCTCATACACGCTATTCCCTGAAAGAGTGTCTAGCTTGGTGAGGTAATGGTTGAAGGGAAAATCAGCTTCTTGGACAAATGGTAACCCATAGTACATCATGGTCCTGTCAATGTTCTCTGTGTTGGCTTCAGTCCCCATGAACCTGTAAGAATTGGCAGGGTTCAGTGTCATCGGGTCCCAGCAGGAGACGGGGAAGGTTCTTTGCTACTACCCGTATCTCATTTATGAGATTCAGGGCCTGAATGCACACTACCAACCATATAGGACTAGGGCTTACTGGAAAGCATAGTCAAGATGGCCAAGAAATGTCACATTGGGTCGGTCACCAGGACAATTTCTCATTGTTATAAACCCAAACACTAGCCTAGTACTAGGTTATGCCTAAGAGATAGGAAACATGTTTGGATCTCAACCAGTATTGTTCTTTTCCTTCTAAGCCTGATCAAAACTCAGTTACATGCATGAAGACTTACTTTAGCAATTCTGATCATTCCATATAGAACATACAGTATATGTCTGCAAATAAGGTGAGAGGTTTTTTATAAAAGAACTTCCCCTTGGATTTGAGTTTCTATAAAGTCTCACCTTATTATTGGTGTGCATTCTCAGTTGCTGGAAACCAAACACTCTTTGGGGAAGACATAGTCACCTGCAATGAGTCCTATCAATGCCAGCACTAGGTATTTGAAGCAATATATTATATATTAATGGATAAGTGCATAGTCTCTGGAGCCAAACTGTCTCTGTTCAATCCCATCTTTGCTATTACTATCTGTGTGACCATTGCCTGCATGCTCAGAGCCTGTTTTCTCATCTATCAAATGGAGAGAGTAAATCAGAGTACCTATTTTAAGGAGGAGAAATTTAACCCATCTTCTATTGATTCTTTGGATGATCTATATAAACTTAGTGATCGTTAATTTTCTTGAGTATTTATTATGTTCCAGGTGCTTTATACACATTATCTAACTTAATCTCACAACAGCCTTATAAAGGCTATTGCTATCACCTTTTTATTGATGAGAAAACCGAGACTGACATTAACCAAGGAGCCCAAGGTCAGACAGCTACCGAGCAGGGCTCCACTTCAGGTTCACCTAATTCCAGCCTGTGAGCTCAGTCATTGTGATCTCCTGATAGTTTAGTTGAAACATATGAATTCATAATGTACAGGGAACTATAAGTCCTGTAAGAATGATAAAAATAATAGCTCCTGGCTATTATTTAACTAATAGAGTCTCCCCCTCTTTCCCCATCACTCTCTCCTTCTTTCTCTCTCTCGCTCTCTTTTTGAGTCAGGGGTCTCACTCTGTTGCCCATGTTGGGAGTGCGTGGCACAATCACAGATCAGCGCAGCCTTGACCTTCTGGGCTCAAGCAATCCTACCCACCTTAGTCTCCTGAATGATTGGGACTGTAGGCATGTGCCACCATGCCCAACTAATTTTTTATTTTTGTAGAGACAAGGTCTCTCTATGTTGCCCATGATGGTTTCGAACTAGACCCAAGCAAACCTCCCTCCTCAGCCTCCCAAAGTGCTGGGGGTCTTTTTTTGGGTTTTTTGTTTGTTTGTTTGTTTGTTTGTTTGTTTGTTTTGAGTTAGAGTCTTACTCTGTCACCCAGGCTGGAGTGCAGTGACACGCTCACAGTCACCATAACCTCGACCTGCTTAGCTCAAGTGATCCTTCTGCCTCAGCCTTCCAAGTAGCTGGAACCACAGGCGTGCACCACTAAGGCGGGCTAATTTTTGATTTATTGTAGGGATGAGGTGTCCCCATGTTGCCCAGACTAGTCTTGAACCCCTGGGTAGGCAATCCTCTCTCCTCCACCTCCCAAAGTGCTGGGATTATAGGCATGTGCCACCGTGCCCGGCTAAAGTGCTGAGATTACAGGAATGAGCCACTGCACCCAGTCTATATTCTCTTTTTAATTAATTTAATTTTCACAAAACTCCTATGAAGTAAGTTCTGTGATTAGCATCATTTTCCCAAAGAAGAAACTTAAAGTCAGCAGAGTAAAGCAAGTTGAGAGAATATACAAGGCACTGGCATAACTAAATTGTGAAAAATTAAGCCGGGCTCGGTGGCTCAGCCTGTAATCCCGCGCCTTTGGAAGGCTGAGGTGAGTGGATTGCCTGAGCCCACGGGTGCGAGACCCGCCTGGGCTCTACAGTAAATCAAAAAATCAGCCGGGCGTGGTAGCGCATGCCTGTAATTCCGGCTACTTGGAAGGCTGAGGCGGAAGGATCGCCGGAGCCCAGCAGGTGGAGGCTGCGGTGGCCAGGAGCGGCCACAGCACTCCAGTCTGGGTGACAGAGTGAGACTCCAACTCAAAAAAAAAAAAAATTATAATTATGCAGGTTTGTTAAATGATGGCTTGATCTCCCAAATATGCCTGACTGTGAAGGATACACTGCAGACCCCACAGTGCACCTGGGATGTTTGGAGCATGTGCTGCGGTTACCTGTATCTGCCAGGCTCCCTGCTATACTGGTCCATGGTCTGCCGGAAGCTGCGGACAATGTCATGCATTCCCACCTGTGTGGTGGTGAAGTCGTGGTACAGCTCCGAGTAGTGAGTGACCGTGCTCTTTGAAAACCAGGACAACATGGTTACCATTACTCCAATGTCACAGAGCTGTCTCTGTGTGAATTCTTCAAAGGGCTCAAGGCAAGAGAGACACACACAAAAATGGTGGTGTGGATGGGGAAGAACTATTTGTACTTTGCAAACGCATGCTTGCTTTATGACATGTCATTACAATCAGCAAGGTTATTTCAGGATTTATTCTCCAAGGAGAAGATCTTCCATTTGGGAGGACCACTAAGATACACTTTTTTTTCTACATTTTTCCTCTTCATTGGAAATGATGTGCAAAAGAAAAATCGACTTAATGATCACCTTTGCTTTGTGACATGCTCTCATAATTGGCCAGTACATGGCCAAATTGTTAACTTTATAAGTCTAGTAAACAGTGTTTCTCTAGTTGAACTACCACCCATTTCAACGAACTAAATTTTACTGAACATCAAAACATTGATTACAAATGTATTTAACCAAGTCCTCCTAGACATTTAATTGTCTAAATGCTTCAGACACATTTAAAGGCAAACAAAACAAATGATCTTAATGATTACAGAGTTAATGATTACACGTACACTTTATCTGCTCACAAAAATATTAAAATCATACATTTAACTGTGTTTCTTTATCATCTCTATCTTTATTCTTACTGTTATTGCTTCCTCAGGGTTTCATTAATTTTTCCTGATATGCATTTCTGTGTCTTCCTAGGAATACAATAATCCTCAGGAATCAAAAGCAAAAGATGACTTCTTATGCAAACCAAGATTGTAGGTCCTGGGATGGGACATGGAGTGGACTGGTCAGAGGATCCAAACCTGAGTGGTCAGCCATTCTTTAGACTTCCTTTTATTTATTTTTTGAGAAACAGGGTCTCACTATGTGGCTCAGGCTGGACTCAAACTCCTGGGCTTAAGGGCTCCTCCCGCCTCAGCCTCCCAAGTAGCTGGGATTACAGATGCACACCACTGTGCCCGAGTCTGGCATTTATAAGTGAACTTCCCTTGTTAGATCACATAAAAGCTTTATTTTGGAATTGTCTTTTCCTGAAATTGCATGTTCTTTAAGTGCTTCTCAGGTAGCACACAAAACCCACTGTTCTAATCATTTGTCATAACTGTAAATGCATGCCTGCTTTATGACATGTCATTATAATTAGCAAGGTTATTTCAAGATTTCTTCTCCAAGGAGAAGCTCTTCATTCTAGGGGAAAACTGGCTAAAATATATCCTTTTTCTAAATCTTTCCTTTTAATTGGAAATTATGTGTAAAAAAAAGGGGGGGGTTTAATTATAACCCTTGGTTCATGATATGCTCTCATAATTGGCCTGTGCCTGGTCAACTTTTCTTTAGCTAATTAGTTAATTGATTAATGATTTTTTTTATTTTTTCTGAGTTGGAGTCTCACTCCTTTGCCCAGGCTGGAATGCAGTGTCATGTATGCTCACAGCCACCACAGCGTCGACCTTCTGGGCTCCAGCAATCCTTAGCCTCAGCCTTCTGAGTAGCCGGAACTACAGATATGCGCTACCATGCCCAGATATTTTTTATTTTATTGTAGAGACAAGGTCTTGCCAAGTTTCCCAGGCTGGTCTTGAACCTGCAGCCTCAGGCAATCCACTCACCTCGGCCTCCCAAAGTACTGGGATTACAGGCTAAGCCACCAAGCCCAGAGGATTAATGAATTTATAAGTGCTCATAAATCTACTACTGAGGACAGAAGCTATCTTGATATTAAACTCTCTAAACAAGTGGATTTCATTTTGTTTAGTTTTATTAAAAGGGTATCACGCTGGGTACAGTCACTCACACCTGTAATTCCACACTTTAGTAGGCCGAGGCAAGAGGACTGCTTGAACCCAGGAGTTTGAGAACAGCCTGGGCAACATAGCAAGAACTCATTCCTACAAAAAAAAAATTTAAATGAGCTGGGCATGGTGGTGCTTGCCTGTAGTCTCAGATACTTGGGAGGCTGAGGCAGAAGAATCACCTGAGCCCAGGAATTGGAGACTGCAATGAGCCAGGATCATGCTGCTGCACTCTGGCCTAGGGGACCCCTAACTCAAAAAAAGGGGGAGGTTTCACTCTATATATAATAACTTTAGATCTTTCTCACTAAGCATTGCATTGCTAAGATTAACCCATAATGCTATCATCGTAATTGATTTCTTTTCCTGACATAACATTTTATATTTAAATCCATCATTTTGGAATGCATTTTAGGATCGAATTTGGGACTGCTGCCTCTTGGCCACTGAAAACAGAGTGACTATAGAAGGAGGGCAACCAGAGGAGTAGGGTGGCACATGAATTCCATTGCTCATGCATGAATGGGGTAAAGCTTGAGAACCACTGGTGTGGAACTCAAGGAGTCCAGATTCTGTAGTGAGACAGGAGTGGCTTGGAATTCTACTTGGAGTCATCTCACCTTGTGACCCTTGCTAAGTTAACCTCTCCAAGATTTACTGAATGGGGATCATGAAAACTCTCTCATAGGCCACTGAAAGTTAAATGAAATATCATAAGTAAACAGCCCATATAGCACACAGTAGACACTCAGCAAGTGCAAGTTCCCTTCCCTTCCAAAGATGGGTCCTTTGACAACTAGAAGAGTACTTGAGGAACTTAGGCCCCCTCACTTGAGGTTGAGTGAGAAGACAACGTTGCAGAGAATAAACATTCTCCATTTTGTGGTGCTTGGTAGACTCCACAGTGAATGTGTCCTCAGAAACCTTGTCACTGAGGACTGGAGCCAATGGAAGAAAACATGTGTGCGTGTGAACTTGAAACGCCTGTGTATATCCTAAAGAAAATGACTCTAGTATTTCCTAGAGACAGGACAGAACTCATCTTTGTAATTGGTATCTCAGGCTAAAAAAGAAAGCACTCTGATGACATTTTCAGAAAAGGCAATCATCCTTATCATAAAAGCTTAAAACAAAACTTTACCGGGATCTGGGTCTTATTGACTTGGATCTCGTCTCTCAGATGCTTCGCTTCTAGAAGAAATTTGACAGCATCGAAACTAAAGCCATCCACACCCTTTGCAAGCCAGAACTGCATAATTTCCTAAACATGAAGAAGCAAAATGCTTGGTTACATTAACTGCACATTAGTATCATGGTGTTTAATAAAGACTTTGTGTGTTAGTGACTTACCACCTTAAAACAGATCTCTCCAGATACAAAACAAGCACAGTATAGGTATAGTCTATTGTTACCTATGTAGAATAGCGGTGTCTTACTATATCACACTATCAAGTAACTGCACTGGGGATGTCTCCCACACTTCCTTCATATTTGAACTCAGAAATACAGTTACAATTACATTAGTAAGGGATGTCATTCACATGTTTCCAAAGTTTAGAGAATCCACTCAAAATGAAAGAATGAAGCCATAAAAGATAGCAAGGCAGGATAGCTAGCACACATTAGACGCAGATAGATAAATATTCTACAGGCAGGTTTTAGGAAGCATTCAGACTTTTTTTATTACTTTTTTTTTTAACTGCAGGCCAAGCTGGCAGCCTATCTCACCCCCTCAGCAAATCAAAAGAAAATTCCATCAGATGTAAAAATAGGATAGGCCCAACCTGTCAACCCATGGTTTAGCATAATAATCACAAAATCTTTCAGGTTCCCTGTCCAAGGCGGAACCACCCCTTAACTAACCAAAGTCATAGAAATGATAATAAAACCACCTTTTAGCTCATGAACTTGTGAATTGGAAATGTCTGGCAGGTCTCCTACAAAAGACAATGTGGTCTAGAAAAGACCACCCCTTATCCCTCTCCTTCCATCAGAAGTGAAGAGATGTCAACTCTCCAGAGTAGCAGTTATTACCTGTGGCCACCCTCTTTCACATATCAATTGTTGTGAAAACATATCTAGTTTCTTGGTTAAGAGCAAAAGTGCAATCTTTCTTTTTCGAGAAAGACTTGCCCGTGCCGGGCATTTCTGATACAAAACTTTCACCTGCCCTTTCTTTCCTCTTTTCTTCTCAACTAATAAACTTTGTTTTAAAACTTTGGTGGCCACTATAAAACTCATTTCAGGGTTGAGTCAAAGAACCCATGAATTTTGTGCCGCGTCCCACCAGGCATCAATAGGACTCCAAAGAAACTGGAGAAGTTTCTTATCTCCCTCATGCCCAACTCCTTAACAGACATTTCAAACCATAAAAGAGAACCCATTGCTCACTAGTTAAATACCTCACTCCTTACCAGGGAAACAAATGAGAGGTGAATAGGAGTAATACGGGAGGAACACAAAACAAAAATAGACAGAGTCAGCCATCAGCCAAGCAAACAACTAAGAAGAACGGGGAAGACCCAGTGACAAAACTCAGACGCATGGCCCACGGGGCATAGAGAGGCACCTCATTTCTAGAATGGGTTCTTGGTGGTTTCAGGAGATACCTTACCAGAAAGCTGACCAAGCTCAGGTTTGGGACCCCTCACTCACACCAGCCCTTATAACTCCCTTTTTCTCGTTATTAAAAAAAAATGCTCATTTTTTTCTGTACTTGATTTTGCGCTCTTCGTATCTTAAGAAGGTCCTAAATTTGTACACACTTCAGACCCCACACAATCTGGGCCCACCCCGGGCGGTGCTGTTCTTTATAAGCGTGAACATTGGTGGGGACAGAGAAAAATGCGGGAAGGCACGAAAGACTGTACTGTGTAAACATCAGACTTTTAGGCACTGGTTTCCTAAAATAAAGCTGGTTATTTTCTTCATGAGGTCCTTGTTCCATTGGGCATCTTGGCATTAAAAACGAGAACTATGTACCTCAGAGGAGGGTTGTGGTCCTGGCATCATCAGAGTATTATCATCATTTGATGAGACAAAACAGAAAAAGCTGGATGGATATTTTCTGAGAGTCATTTTAAATGCTGATAATTTGGATTATCACTGAGATAATCCAAAGTTTGCTCTTGAAAAATACTTTGTGCTATTTATTCTTTCACCCAGGTGAGGAAAGAGAACTCTGGATGTTAATAATTAACCCTCTTTATTCCAATTAAGCTCTCCCTGGGTGTCGTATGCAAAAATGGGCACAGAGAGTGGTGACCCACATAGGTGCCGTAGACTCTGGGGACTGGACTATGCACTGTGTTCCTGATTCCTAACTCCCATGACTTCACAGAGCCCTGTTTTGTCCACTGGGCATCTTTTAATGCTTTTCTCCTTAAACAACTTTCTGCTCTGAGTAAAAAAGGAATCAAGTCAATATTAATGATCTCCAAATTCACGAAACCTTGAGGGAAGCCTTTCCTTGCGAGGTGGTTGAAGTTATTGGGCCCATTTACCTTTTTAGCCACACTTGGGACATAGAAAATCTCTACTCATATGTGTTGACCTATGTGACAAACTCTTGAGAATGACGTAAATCCTGGGTTGTCCATCGCAAGAAAGGACGAGAAAGGATAAGACACTTCAGAAGTACAGAGAAAACAATTTCCTCTACTTCCAGGCAAGAGGAAAAAAAACTGTCTTTACTGTTATTCAGAAATCTTGGAAAAATTCTTTGCTGACTTCTTGGAAGGATAAGGCTTCTGAATCTGACCATCTGGGCGTCATCCCAGCTCTCCCACTGTCCAGCTGCCTGAGTTGGGTCATCTGCAAGATGACACCAGGCCCCAGTCTCCTCATCAATACCAAAGAACCTGCCTTGCAGAGTTTCTGTGAGGAGTAAATGAGGTGTTGCTGCTAGAGTCAGCTGACATTTCATCTTTCTATAATCTGATCCCTGACTGACTCACCTCATCTTCTAGAAAGACTCAAATACCTTAGCTCTGTTACACCCTGCCTCTTGGTTTGCCTTCCTTTTCTGTCTACTCTGCAGTTCTTAGATGTTAGCACTCCTTGGGACTCTGTCTTACATTCTCTGGCCATTCATGTCACAACCAACAGTATTTATTTACTTATTATCCATCTACTGACTGTTTAACAGTGCTTAGGTAATAAAAATACGCACCGCCCTAAGTGCTTTACAAAGGGTAAACCATTTACTCTCCCAGCAACCCTCTGAAGAATGTTCCATTACTGTTCTAGTTCACCAAAGAGGAAGCTGAACCTTCAGAGGATGAAGTACCTTTGACGAGGTCATGGCTAGTAAGCAGTGGCGCCAGAATTAGAATGGTGAGTTCATGGTTAGTAAGTAGTGGTGCCAGAATTAGAACCACGCGGTGCCCTGGCTCATTTAGTAAGCTGACTTTCTCTATTTTTTTCTTTTAATTGGAAGCTCTGCCACACCTGGCCCACATCCCCACGTGATAGCAGTTGACTTGAGCTAAGCTGCAATGGGCCCCCTTGTTCATCTCAGCTGATTTTCTCTCACTGAAGACCTGCCTGAGCTCTGTAGGCATCATCCATGTCTCAGCCAATCCCAGAGCTTTCTCTGAACTAGATCTTTCCCTGAGTTCCATGTCCTCACACTGTATCCAACCATCCACTGGACACTGGATGGCTCCACATAACCAAGACATCTCCCTCCCTAAGTCTCCATAAATGGGCAGTTCCACCCACCAGTGTTCAGATCTGAAATCTGGAAAGCCACTCACCTTACCAGCCCCTTCTCCCGGGCACAGGGTCAATACACAATACATATCACTAAGTGCGTAAATGGTTTTGCTAAAGCTCCTGGAATACAGGAGGTACAATAACGGCACAATTATTATCATCACGCACAGATCTGTTTCCATTGAGCTGGTTGTCTCCAGTAGTATCAGGCTCAGTTGGGACAGAACAGAGCCTACGCTTATGCTCTGGGTTCTATCTCAAGCGGTGGGGTAGGGACTATCTTGGCTTCTCATCCCCACTGCTGTGAACGCAGTGACTCCCAGGAGTCCCCCCTCCAGGGCTCGGCCTTCCCATATGGCAGGACCAGGACCACCCTGAGCCCCAGACACGATGCCAGGCCTTCTAGGGTCTCTTATTTGCTATGCTGCTAACCCAACCGGGCTCCCTGACCTCTCTGTGCCTCAGTTTCCTCATTAGTCAAATAAGAAATCTGGAGGGCAAGTAAAGACCGTAGTGACTGGAAAAGTGTAAAATACTATACAAATATAAGCCCCCAGCTCCTCAGAGAAGGCTTCCAGACATCTCCAGCTGAAAGCACTCAAGAGGAGAGAGCCTAGCTGGGTCCCCTAATGGCCAGTGCAAAGGTGAGGAGGGTGCTCTGCTGAGTGTCCCCTGAATGCCAGCCTCCCACTGTGCAGATAAACTGGAATCTGCTGGGAGCAAGAAGGAAGGAAGCAAGATTAGGCTCAGGGAGTGTAAACTGCTAGCAAGCTGGAATTCATCTCAATGCCTCTCTGAAACCTCTCTGGGCTGCAAATTATTAACCTGCTTAACTCTCAATAAGCATTGCTGGGGGTGGGGGGGTGTCAGAAGTCTCCTTCATGGCAAAGGTCACTTTCCAGGAGCAAAGAGCCTTACCTCCCAGCTTCTCAGCATTTATTATTTACTGCTAATAGTAAATCTTCTAAACCAGCCTTGCAAACAAAGTCTAACCCCTCAACCAGAGGCCGTGATGATTCATCGCATGAGGGTTTTCATCCTGCGGACTGCGAATAAGGATTTGATTCACATATTCCATTACTTGGCTATCCAGAAGAGTGTGGATGGGGTCATCCCCAAAATCATTAAAGTATCAACTGGCACATTTTGACAAAGTTGATCACACTTGTCTAGACATCTCCAGACAACTCAGTCACCGTGGCCCCAAGGAGCTCGGAAAACCCACTGCCTGAGAAACTGGCTGGTTTAGGTTCACATTTGTGGATTTACAGCTGAAAAACTCCTTGAGAAAACCATGCAGAGGAAGTGAAGCAGGGAAAGAGAAGGAAGGGTGCCTCAGGGCAGGTGTGGGACTGTGGTTATGAGCGTGGACTCGAGTCCCAGTGTCTGAGCTTGAATCCTGTTCCATCGCTCCCAACAAGGGTGACTTTTTTTTTTTTTCTTAACCTCTCCAGCCTCAATTTCCTTCTCTGGAAGATGATCATAAAGTCTCATAAGTTAGGCTTTTTCTGAGCATTAAATGATCCAGGTGAATCACCTACCAAGTGTGTGGGGAAGGGGGAGGTGTGGGCGTGCCAAGCCGCTTGGGTGATGGAGAGGAGGAGAGTTCATGCACCACCCCAGATGTTTCAAACTAAGCCCTCGTGATTCTTCTGACCGTGTCTACCACTGTCCACCCCACCCAGACAAGGCCGCCCTCATGCAGGGTGCCTACTTCTAGAACAGATTCCATAGCAGTTCATTAAAATTCTGAAAACATCAAAGATATATAGTACAAAGAGTCTTTAAAGAGTCTATAGGAAAAAAATTAACAAAAGAAATGTCAGGACCAGGTGCAGTGGCTCACACCATCATCCTAGCACTGTGGGAGTGGGAGGATCACTTGAGGCCAAGAGTTTGAGACCAACCTGGTCAACATGGTGAGACCCTGTCTCCATAATAATTAAATAAATATATATTTTTTAAAAAAAAAAAGGAGTGTAAGAAGACTTGTACTCTGAAAACTACAAAATATTGTTGAAAGAAATTTAGAACACATTAAATAAATGGAAAGACAACTTGTGTTCATAGATTGGAAGACAACATAAGATAGCTAGCTGGGTGTGGTGGCTCATGCGTATAACCCCAGCACTTTGGGAAACCAAGATAGGAGGACTGCTTGAGCCCAGGAGCTCAAGACCAGCTTTGGCAGCACAGCAAGATCTCATCTCTATAAAAAAAAATTAGCCAGAGCCAGGTGTGGTGGCTCATGCCTGTAATCCCAGCACTTTGGAAGGCTAGGCGAGAGAATTGCCTGAGATCAGAGTTTGAGACCAGCCTGGGCAACTTGGCAAGACCTCGTCTCTACAATAAAAATCAAAAAATTAACTGGACAAGGTGACGCATGCCTGTAGTTCTGGTTACTTGGAAGGCTAAGGTGGAAGGATCGCCTGAGCCCAGTAGGTCAAGGCTGCAGTGGCTGAGAGCAGCATGCCACTGCACTCCAGCCAGGGTGACAGAGTGGGACTCTGACTCAAAAAAAAAAAAAAAAAAATAGCCAGATGTGGTGGCAAGCCTGCAACCCCAGCTACTAGGGAGGCTGAAGCAAGAGGATTGCCTGAGCTCAGGAGATTGAGGCTGTGGTGAGCCATGATCATGTCACTGCATTCCAGCCTGGGAAACAGAGGGAGACCCTGACTCATAAATAATGAAATGAAATGTCTATATTTCCCAAACTGATCCACAGATTCGATGAAATCCCTATGAAAATCCTAGCAGGCTTCTTTACAGAAATTGGCAAGCTGATTTAAAAATTCAAATATAGAGCCAGGCACAGTGGCGCACACCTGTAGTTCCAGCTACTCGGGAGGCTAAGTTGGTAGAATCACTTGAGCCCAGGAGTTCGAGGTTGCAGTGGGCTGTGATTGCGCCACTGCACTCCAGCCTGGGTGACAAAGTGAGACCCTGTCTCTAAAGAGAGAGAGAGAAAAAAACAGACAATAACAAGTGTGGGTGAGTGTGTAGAGAATTTGGAATCCTTACATGTTGCTAGTGTTATAGCTGCTTTGGAAAACGGTTTGGCTGTTCTTCAAATAGTTAGAGATATCTATCATTGGTGTATAGAGAGATATAGTATGATTCCATTTATAAGATATGCCCAGAATAGCTAAAATCATAGGGACAGAAAGTAGATTAGTGGTTGCCAGGGGCCAGGGGAAGAATGGTGGGGGCAATCAATGGATGTGGGTTTCCTTTTTGAGATGATGAAAATGTTCTGGAATTAGTGGTGATGGTTGCACAACTCTGAGAACATACTAATACCACTGAATTACACACCTGAAAGGGGTGAATTTGATGGTATGTGAATTATATCTGTTGTTTCAAAATAAAACTGTTATTTCAAAGCAAAACAAAAATAAACTAAGGGGTCTGGGCGTTCCTAGTGACTCTGAAATGGCCGCTTTCATTCTCTGTTTGGCTGACATAGTGAGCTATGGAAGGGCATCCCTACTCCCTGCTCTGTTCTGATCTCCTCCCCACCTACTTCTCTCAGAGGACACCTCCACCTGCCACCTAATTCCTGCTCACTAGAGTCACAGCCACAACAAGAGTGAGAACCATGGAGTGGCTCATATTCTTCGTGAATCGTGTTGTTAATGCTGCCACTACCATACAGGTATGAGCCCATCAGCGCTCATTGGGGCTGTTTTGCTAAGGGAACTCTCCTGTCCACAGAGCCACCGAGGGACCTTGTGACAGCATTCAAGGCATTCATAATCAGCCCCCACCTCGTATTTCTTGGACCTCCCATCCCTGACTCATTCACTCCGGCCCACTGGTAAGGTGCCAAATAAAACACAGCACACCCAGTTACATTTTAGTTTCAGGTAATCAACGAACAGTTATTTGGTAAATCATGCCCCAAATAGTGCAATTATTCCTTCGCAAGTTAACTTAGTATCCTGTATTTTTATTCGCTAAATCTGGCAACCTAAAATGCAGGCCTCTGTGTCATTTCTGGAACACGTGACCCACACTCTCACCTCGAGATCACTGCACCTGCTTTTCTGCCAGAAAAACTCTTTCCCCAGATAGTCACATGACTTCCTTTCACACTTCAGGTCTTTGTCCAAACAGCAACTCATCACAGGATGTCTCCTGAGCCCTTGGTATGGGAGAGCAGCTTCCACCTGGCACTCTGACACCCTTTTCCTTTGGCCTTCATCACCACCTGATGTGTTGTACACTTCATGGTTAATTGTCTGCTTTTCTCTCAGAACATTCGAGGCTCCTTGAGGGCAGGGCTTCTTCATTCACTGCTGCCTTACCAGTGCTTAGAACAGGGCCTGGCATGGAGCAGGCAACGTGTTCATATTTATTGAGTAAATATAGTAGTATTGTGTGTGGGTCATCTCATGGAAACTTCCAAAGAACTCACTCACCCAGAGACCCGCTGCAGACGCAGGAGCCAGTCCCCGAAGCCCACGCTCAGACCCACCTCCTGCACCAGCTCATTGCCACAGGCAGAGGGGCAACGCAGAGCTAGGGTGGCAGGTGTTTCTGACCCCTCAGTTAGACAAAGGAAGGGGCCCCCGACACATCTGAGTGTCTCCAAGTGCATCAGACACTTTAATCCCAGAATTTAATTTCACTACTTGATTTTGCCTGCACAATTATTGTTTCATATAGAGAGTTTCAAATAACCACCTAGGCCCCCAATGGAGAATCTCAATGGAGAATCTCACGGGGATGTCTATACTCACTTTTATTTCTTCTTGAACGTCAGGATTGCGGAAATTCAAGTCAGGTTGTTCTTTCATAAACTGGTGAAAATAACATTGGTTTCGCACTTCGTCAAAGTGCCAACTGGAATTCCCATATACACTTACCTGGCAAGCAAAGGAGAGGGCGCGTCAGTTACTTTGCAGTGCTCATACAGTGGTGCTGTCCACAAGAAACGATCACTGTCCCTGGCTGGAGGAGAGGGTATAAATCCTGGGAGTTTTCCTTCTAGGGAGAGCACTATGCTAAAGTCATCCCTCAAATGCCTCCGTCTGCCAAATGCCTCACAAACGTGGCTGTGATGTATTTGTACAGTAGAATAACCACAACAGGCCGGGTGTGGTGGCTCACATCTGTAATCCCAGCACTTTGGGAGGCTGAGGCGAGAGGATTGCTTGAGCCCAGGAGTTCAAGACCAACCTGGGCAACATAGCAAGAGCTCATCTCTTAAAAAAAAAAACAACCACAACAGCAAATCAGTGCTCTCAGATTCATGACAAGGCCAACTTAAGGAACAGACATTACTAACAGTCTTGAATCTTCTGCCCAGGTTCTGAACTCCTGTTTATGAAGAGAAACAAATGGCCGTCACTTTGGGAGAAAGACACATTCCATTGGTCTTAGAGCTTGAGTCCACACAGACTAAATACTTACGTTGTATCCACAGGAAATTATTAGAAATATGCACTTAAAAACTCTGCTAGACCCCAGGAATAAAACCTAGCAACTTTAAGAGTCAGTACCAAGCAATGTTTGACACTTGCTGATTTCCTCTTTCTAGAAATGCTCATGACCATGGCTCTATGACATGGGTCCTGGTTGCCCACCCAATCTCCCACCCCTCCTTGTTTAGTCTATGGTGGGTCCTTAAATGTGAGAGTTTCCTGGGCTCAATCTTAGACCTTCTGTTCATTTCATGCTAAAGAGCACATCTGGAAAACATCTTAATACTGGGGAATTTTACAAAAACCTTTTTCTTCTGAGTTGGAAAAACTAGTCACATTGGATTCACATTTCCATGGCAACAACAGGCTGATGCTGAGTAATGACTGCTGCCTCTCAAGGAAGTGTACCCTCACCTATCCACCACGTGACCCCCCCAGGACACAAAACAGGGTAAGATATTTATTGTATAAATAACCAATAAAAGATCAGTATCCAGAATACCAAAAGAACTGAAGAAAGCAGTTTCAAAGGGATGAGCAATTCAAAAGAAAACTGGGGAAAGAAACCAGAAAGAGTCGTTTCACAGAGAGGAAAGCTCAAGTGAATAAACGTATGAAAAGATATTCAACATCATTAGGTATTAGACAAATCATAATTAGTAATTACATAAATGAAAGATTAAGCCGCAATATGATACTATTTTACGTTTACTCAAAAATTACAAAGTCTGGCCCGATAGGGTGGCTCACACCTGTAGTCCCAGCTACTCAGGAGGCTGAGGTAGGAGGATCATTTGAGCCCAAGAGTTCAAGTCCAGTCTGAGCAACATAGCGGGACCCTGTCTCCATAACCATACTTTTATTAATTTATAAAAATAATAACAACAAAATTTAAAAACAAAATAAAAGTATAAAATCTGGCAATACCAGGAATTGATAAGAATGTGTATTTTTATACTGCTGGAGAAGCTATGAATTAATACAAACCCTTTGATAATTAATTTGATATTGTTTTGTAGAGTTGAGCATACAGTATCCTGCACAGTAATCTCACTCCTAGTTATGTACCTTAAAGAAGTCCTTACACATGTGTCCCAAGATAGAGTATTTATATTGTTAATCATAGTAATTGTTATTACTATTATTAGTAACAATAGATGTTTTTAATATAGTAAATAGACATTGTTAATAATAGTAAAAAACTGGAAACAGCCCAGCTGCCCAACAACTGTAAAAATACAACAATGGCCAGTGGGGCACAGTGGCTCAAGCCTGTCATCCCAGCACTTTGGGAGGCCGAGGCGAGAGGATTGCCTGAGCTCAGGGGTTTGAGACCAGCTTGGGCAACTTGGTGAGACCTTGTCTCTACAATAAATTAAAAAAAAAAAACAATGAAAATAAATGAACCATAGCTACCTGAAACTACATAAGAAAATCTTAAAAAACTATGAGTGAAAAGTCAGTTATAGAAAACAATACATACATATATATGTGGGTGCTAAAAAAAAGTATACACATTTTAAGTACGACATTCACTCAAATGATGGCATTAATCAAACCCTAACCCTCACCATACAACAGGCAGGACAGTCAAAGAAAATGGCAGAGCATGGGTGAGCGAACGTCACACTACACACTGCTACTGTAATTTAATTCAACTTCAAAAAGTAATACATAGATGACAACTCTTAAAATATGTATACATTTTTCTTGGCACCCTTGTATATAGCATTACATTTCTCATAAAGTATGAAATAAGAAAAACTAAAAATTAATTTGTCTTTAGAATTGGGGTCTTGCTATATATGGTTATACCACAAAGTGTTTATCCATCTATCTGTCATATATTCCATATATTTTTGTATTAACTATTACACTAAAAAATGCAACCTTGGATACAGTGAAGAACTGATGGAAGGGTGAAAAAACGAGATGACAAGAGGCTGCTGTGACCATCCTACAAGCAAAAATGATGTGGCTTGAGGTATGGCAGCAACTTTTAAAAACAGACTGTGGCTGGATATGGTGGTTTACACCTGTAATCCTAGCACTTTGAGAGGTTGAGACAAGAGGATTGCTTGAGGCCAGGAGTTCAAGAATAGCCTCAGCAACACATGGAGTCCTCATCTATGCAAACACACACACACACACACACACACACACACACACACACACACACACACACACACACACATATAAATTAGCTGAGCGCCAGGCACAGCAGTTCAAGCCTGTAATCCCAGCACTTTGGGAGGCCGAGACAAGAGGATTCCCTGAGCTCAGGAGTTTGAGACCAGCCTGGGCAACTTGGCGAGATCTCGTCTCAACAAAAATAAAAAAATTAACCATAGGTGGTAGCATGTACCTGTAGTTCTGGCTACTTGGAAGGCTGAGGTGGAAGGATCACCTGAGCCCAGCAAGTCGACCTGGGGTGGCCAGGAGCGTGCCTCTGCACTCCAGCCTGGATGACAGAGTGAGACTCCTACTCAAAAAAACAAAAACAAATTAGCTGAGCATGGTGGTGTGCACCTGTAGTCCTAGCTACTCAGGAGGCTGAGGAAGGAGGATTACTTGAGTCCAGGAGTTGGAGACTGCAGGGAGCTGTGATCATGCCACTGACTCCATCCAGTCTGGGCAACAGAGTGAGAACCTCATTAAAAAAAAAAAAAGCAGACTGTGGAATTGGACTGACTAAACTAGATCATAGGATTGTAGAATGGATTGACTAAATTAATAAATATAAAACACTTAGCACAGAGTCTGGCACATAATAAGCATTTAGTAAGTGTTTGCTAATATCATCATTTTACCAAGTGAGCGGACTGAAGAAAAATATCAAAGAGGTAAAATGGACGCCCTGTTCTTCAGGCTGCATAACGAGCAATTCATTCATGCAGGATCGAATGAAACAGACTGTTCGTGAAACATTCAGGTTGTTCCATTGGCTAGATGATAGGAGGTTGTTGCGAGAAGATCACACAGTCAGCCTTAAAACATGTCAGTTCTAGCTGGGCTCGGTGGCTCAGCCTGTAATCCCGTGCCTTTGGGAGGCTTAGGTGAGTGGATTGCCTGAGCCCGCGGGTTCGAGACCTGCCTGGGCAGCGAGACCTCATCTCTACAATAAATCAAAAAATCAGCCGGGCGTGGTAGTGCATGCCTGTAATCCGGCTACTCGGAAGGCTGAGGCGGAAGGATCGCCAGAGCCCAGCAGGTCGAGGCTGTGGTGGCCGGAAGCGGCCACTGCACTACAGTCTGGGTGACAGAGTGAGACTCCAACTCAAAAAAAAAACAACAACAAAAAAAATGTCAGTTCTAAGTGTCCTTGAGTCACCTAAAAGTTGATGGCCAGGGGTCAGCATGTTTAAATGTTTATGGACACGGTCAAGATGAGAGAAGGAGCTAGAGAGAGGACCTGGGCTCAAAACATGGGAGAGAAAACCCACCAGAGAAGGTGAAGAACCTAGCCCGGAGCAGAGGGCAGAGTCGCCAGGTGAAATATGGAGTGTCCAGGCCGGGCACAGTGGCTTACACCTGTAATCCCAGCACTTTGGGAGGTCAAGGTGGGAGGATTGCATGAGCCCAAGAGTTCGAGACCAGCTTGGGCAACATGGCGAGACCTCATCTCTATAAAAAATTATTTAAAAACTAGGAGAGTGTGGTGGCGTGTACTTGTAGTTCCAGCTACTTGGGATACTCAGGAGAGAGAATCACCTGAGTCCAAAAGTTCAAGGATGTGGTTGCACTGGACTCCAGCCTGAGACCTGACTCAAAAAAAAAAAAAAAAAAAAAACCAAGAAAAAGAAAAATAAATATAGGGGACCCAGTTAAATCTGACTTTCAGATAAGCAGTGCACAGTTGTTTAGTTTAAATATAGCCCACGTAATATTTTACACTAAACAATTGTGCACTGTTTATCCAACATTTGGATTTAACTAGGCATCCTGGATTTTTATTTGCTAAGTCTGGTCACCCTAGACAAGAAGGACATGGCATCTGTTGTAAAAGCAGTGAGTAGAAAGAGGTGGGGATGGGGACAGGAAGTTTGATGGCTTCTGTTCTCTCTGTGAAGTCGAGTTTGCTGTCGAGAGGCAGGCAGGACTTTTGAAGAGAAGGAGGGAGGGCACATGGGTGAGTTGGATTTAGCAAAATTCCCGAGAAGAAGAGATGGCTCAATCCAGGAGGGGACGATGAACATGTGATGGCCTCCAAGGATCAGGTGTCAAGGTTCAGGCGAGAGAATACAGATGCCTGGGTTCATTGACAGGGTTTTGCTGGACAGAAAGTCAGAAGGGCAAAGGGGTCTGGACAGAAGGAAAACAGTTAATGAATGGGACATGAAATTCAAGCTGGACAGGGTGGCAGTTGAGGGAAGGGGAGAGAGAGGCTTGGAGTGAGCACAGATTTGAATTTGCTAGAACTCATCAGCTCTGCAATGAAGTCAGAAATCTGAATAGTATTTGGAGGCCTGGATACCTTATTTCTATTTCCTTGGGAAACCTCCCCCTCTTAACATAAACTCTACTCATTAATGTTTTTCCTTAAAAGAGGCTGTAACCAACCGGTTTAATTGCAGTAGACCTACCCATTTTCCCTTTGCCCAACAGGCAAGCTGGGACTTACCCAGTTGTTGGGAGGAATGGTTATGCCATTTTCATGGGTACAGTCACGCCAGATATAATAATCCGTGTATTTTCCTGTTTGTGTCCGACTCATTTGAAACCAAACATGCTTATCACTGGTGTGGTTTGGTATGTTATCAATAATTAATTTTAAACCTAGTGAGTGAGAACATTTCAAATGTTAGGAAAAGATTATATTAGAATAACACATGACGGTTAAGGGAAAATGATGCTATAAGCAAACATTTGGAGAGGGCCATTTTCACCCTCCCCCATCCCACCTTCCATCCAATTTACCTTTATCATGTATGGCAGCAACCAGATTCTCAAAATCTTTCATTGTTCCAAAGATGGGATCAATTTCTCGGAAATCCTCAACACCATATCTGAAATCTTTAAGGGATGATTTATAAAACGAAGTAATCCAAACCGTTTTTATATTTAAAGTTGTGATGTAGTCCAGTTTATCTTGAATACCTGCAGGAAAAAAGTCAAGGTCATGAATAAATCCTAGCTTGTTTGTCTTGGTTAAGGGATTAAAAATATCACAAATAGCCCAGGCTCAGTGGTTCAGCCTGTAATCCCAGCACTTTGGGAGGCCTAGGCGAGTGGATTGCCTGAGCCCATGGGTTCGAAACCAGCCGGGCAACTTGGTGAGACCTTGTCTCTACAATAAATAAAAAGTTAGCCAGGGGTGGTAGCGCGTGCCTGTAGTTATGGCTACTTGAAAGGCTGAGGTGGAAGGATTGCCTGAGCCCAGCAGGTCAACACTGGGGTGGCCGTGAGCGTGCCACTGCACTCCAGCCTGGGCAATGGAGTGAAACTCCAAAAAAAACCATATCACAAATATGCCTAAGATAAAAATATTTACACGGAAGGCAGAAATATTTGGAATTTTGTTGAATTTTAGTAAAATTCAAATAGTAAGATCAAGTTCTGCATATAACATCAAATTGGTCGCCTAAAAATAATCTAGACCTTTAACATAGATGCATAACTTTTAGAAATCTGTGACTTGTTCATGTTTTATATTTAAATCCAAGACTACAGTATCATTAATGTATTCTACACCTGGCAATTAAGCCCCTAATCTAGGCCACCTTCTGGGTTAAGTACCAAGGTACAAAGCAGAGTAACACATAGTCCCTGATGGTCACATGGTCTTGGCAGCACTGTCCAGGATAAAAGCCACTTGCCACATGTGGCCACTGAGCACTTACGATGTGATTGGTCTGAACTGAGGTTTGCTATAAGGGAAAACATATGCTGGCTTTTGAAGATCCACTACAAACTGAAAGAATGTAAAATATCTCATTAATATTGCTATTCTGATTATGTATTGAAAAGGTGTACTGGCCAGGTACAGTGGTTCACGCCTATAATCCCAACACTTTAAGAGGCCAAGGCGGGAGGATCACTCGAGCTTGGGAGTTCCAGAGCAGCCCGGGCAACATAGTGAGACCTTGTCTCTACAAAAAATTAAAAAATTTAGCCGGGTGTGGTGGCACACACCTGTAGCCCCAGTTACTCACTTGGGAAGCTGAGGAGGGTGGATCCCTTCATCCAGCCTAGGAGTTCAAGGTTTTGGTGAGGCATGATCATGTCACTGCACTTCAGTCTGGGTGAGAGTGAGAACTTGACTTCAATTTATACATATGTATATGTGTATGTATATATATATATAGACTATATCCGATTAAACACGATATATTAGAGTTAATTTCAGCTGTTTCTGTTTTCCTTTTTTTAATGGGGCTACTACAAAATTTACAATGACACACGTGGCTTGCGTTCTACTTCTTTGGACAGTGTTGGTCTAGTAAGCAAACACAGGCAGGAATGGGATGACAACCAGCCTGAGGAAAAAAGGACGGAAGAACAGTAGAAAGGGTTTTTAGGGCCCCAGGGAATTAGCCCCTAACTGCCTGGGGCAGAGAAAGCTGATGACCCCTGAGAGCAGGAATGGAGAAGGGTCCAGAAGGGCATGGACAAGGGGGGTCTGAGTGAGGGGCTGCGAGGCAAAGCAAAGGAAGGACCGACCAGGGCATGTCTAAAAATGGCTGAGAAATGTTGCCCAGGTACAGGGACCAGGGACAGAGTGCAATAGTGAAGGGGGAGGAAAGCTTACTCTAGTGTTTGAAGGCTTTTTTTTGGGGGGGGGGAGTTGGAGTCTCATTCTGTCACAAAGCTGGAGTGCAATGGCACGATCATGGCTCACTGTGGCCTCAATCTCCTGGGCTCAGGCGATTCTTCTGCCTCAGCCTCCTGAGTAACTGGAACTACAGGTGTACACCACCATGCCCAGTTAATTTTTTGATTTATTGTAGAGACGAGCTCTCACCAAGTTGCCCAGGCTGGTCTCAAACCCCTGGGCTCAGGCAATCCTGTTGCTTCCATCTCCCAAAGTGCTATGATTGCAGGTGTGAGCCACCACGCCCGGTCTGAGGGCTCTTTTGTTTCACTCTCAGACTGTCTTTGAAAGAGCTGAAATTGGATCTTTTTCTTTGTTCAGTTACATAGGAAGCCAAGAATGTATACAGAAGCGAACTCTAGGCTTGACTGAGGAGAGATGTGGAAGTGAGACTTTGGAATCGGAACTTTGTAGGATAGTATGTTTTTTTGCTAATTTTTAGTTTAGAGTGCTAATTGCAGATGCAGAGACTTGAGTCTAGTATTCAATCTCCAGAACTTTCTGTGTGATCTCTATATGGCCACCTAGAATCAGAGACCATCAGAGCCCAGACAGCAGACTGGGGGTCACTAAGACCAAAGCACCTGGGATCTGGGCTCTTCCCCCGTAACAGGTTGCTGATTTTTGTGCACGTTGTGCCTCAGTTTCCCTGAGTATCAACAGGCAACAAAAGGGTTATATCTTAAGAATAGGCACAAAGGAGTGTGACAATAAACACAGAGAGGCTGACCAGACTCAAAATAAGCACAGGAGCCCAGCCCCATACTCTAGGTCACAGAAGGCTACCATCAAAAACAAACTGAAACCTAGAAGGATTTCTTCATAACAATAACAACAAAATCCCCTCAGTCTCAAAGACAATGCCTATTGAGTACAGGAAGTCAATAGTCCCTCAAGGAAAAGTTATTGGAAATGACAAATGTCAGCGCTGATTAAAACTGCCATGTTTATAGGAATTTGGGATCCATCTTCAAGGAAACTAGGAAGACAAGGCCAGGAAATAGAAAGCATGTCTCTGGATTTAGGGATTTAGGGCGATTCGGTCAAAACATCACTTTTGCTCAACACTCACTATGTAAAAGGCAGCAGGTGATAGGGTCATGTGGTGGGGAAGGAAAACCACTCAGATATGCTGCAAGGCAGGATCAAAAGGTGCCAAAAGGTCGGGCGTGGTGGCTCACACTTGTAATCCTAGCAGTTTGGGAAGCCAAGATGGGAGGATTGCTTGACCCCAGGAGTTAGAGACCAGCCTAGGCAACATAGTGAGACCTCGTCTCTACAAAAAAAAATCAAAAAATTAGTTGGGTGTGGAGGCACTCCTGTAGTCTCAGCTACTCGGGAAGCTGAGGCAGGAAGATTGCTTGAACCCAGGAGGTTGAGGCTATGATGGTCATTGATTGTACCACTGTACTCCAGCCTGGAACAGAATAAGATCTCTACTCAAAAAAAAAAAAAAAAAAATTGCTAGAAACACAGTTCATGGCACAAGTGTCTGGGAGGGAAGCCACAGGCAAACAATTAGTGACAATGCAGGAAGATTTTTAAAAGAGCATGAAAAAGAAAAAGCCTTCTAAGAAAGCCAGAGGTTTCAAGTGTTCATTTGAAGATTTTTTTTTTTTTTGAGTCAGGGTCTCACTCTTGTCACCCAAATTGGAGTTCAGTGGCACCATCATGTCTCACTACAGCTTCAACCACCTGGGTTCAGGGGATCCTTCCACCTCAGCCTTCCTAGTAGCTGGGTCTGCAGCATGGGAAATTGCCTGATTTTTTAAAAATTTTTTGGTTGTTGTTGTTCAGTACCAGCCCAGGCAGGCTCCTGGCCTAAAGCAATCCTCCCACCTCCACCTCCCAAAGTTCTGGAATTAGAGGCATGAGCCACCATGCTCGGCCCCAAAAATACATTGTAAAAATATTTCCCACACTCATGCCATCTTCATTTTCTTCAAGCTAATTAACATTGTAAAAAATTAAACCTAATTTTTATTTATATATTTGTAGCATAGCCCTCAACTAGGGTGATCATGCCAACCAATTTGTTCAAGTCAGTCTCAGTTAATGCCTACTATCTGGCAAAAGTTTACTCTTAAAAGTATTCTGGTATGAGTAATATATTATAAGGATGCTCTACACATAACTCCACAAGAAATGATTAACTTAGTTTAACAAAAAATTTTCCACCTTTTTTTTTTTTTTGAGTTGGAGTCTCACTTCGTTGCCCAGGCTGGAATGCAGTGGCATACTCATGGCCACCGCAGCCTCAACCTGCTGGGCTTAGGCAATCCTTCCGCCTCAGCCTTCCAAGCAGAACTACAGATGCACACCACCACGTCCAGCAAGTTTTTGTGATTTACTGTAGAGATGAGGTCTCACCAAGTTGCCCAGGCTGGTCTTGAACCCCCAGACTCAGGCAACCCTCTCACCTCAGCCTCCCAAAGTGCTGGAATTACAAACTGAGCCACTGCACCCAACCCACTTCTGTTGCCCAGACTAGCCACAAACTCTTGGACTCAAGTGATCCTCCTGCCTCAACCTGCTGAGGCGCTGGGACTACAGGTGCATGCCACTGCCCCCGGTTAATTTTTTACTTCTATTTCCCATTTTTATGGACACTTTTAAACAGTACAAGTAATGACAAACACACTGGTATGCCTTTTCCTTCCCTTCCTATCTCGGGCTTCTGTTCTTTTCTCAGGCTTTAAGACCCAGTCTATACCTTTTTAAAGACATCGCTTGATTTTTTTTTCCTAAAATATTTTTTATGCCCTCGTCACTAATAAACTCTCAGCCACACCAGCCGCATCCCATCCTGAGAAGGCAATTCCCAGCTGCCACTGGGACATAGTCAACTATGAAGCGCACAGAAGCAGAAAACAGAATTTGAGAAAAGACTGCTGGGTGTAAGAAGTGAGAACTGATGACCCAACAGGCCTATGTACTCCAAGGGCGATAAATGCAAGAACTCATTGGGCACAGAGGCCTTCAACAAATGACCTGTCATCTAGTGGAATTGCTGGTCTCCCCTGGGTGATTTAAAATACATATATCATAAACAAGGAGAAACATGATGTGACCAGTCACTCCGGAATGTGCTGACCCGGCCACCCAGGCACAATTCGGTTTGGAGCAATGAGACAGCCAGAAACCAGCCTCATCCCGGCTCCCACCCCGCCCTGTCCCCGGCCCGCACCTTTCAGATCTCCGTTGCCATCCTTGTCGCTGTCCTTGAAAGACCTCGGGTAGATCCGGTACATGGGCCCCGCCTGCCACCAGTCCAGGCACTTGGGAGAGATGGCGATGATGGCGATGGTGGCCCCAACGAGCACGAGCACAGAGGCCACCGTGAGCCAGAAGAGGATCTCCCGGGGCAGCCGGTAGCAGGCCTGGCCCGAGAACTGGAACAGCACCTCCTTGGGCATCCCCGCGTAGGGCTGGATGCCCTTGAAGTCGGCCTCCAGGGCGCCGTGGAGGCCCTCGGGGCGGTGCTGCGGGGTGTCCGTCGGGCTGCCTGGATCCGCGTCCTGCTCTGGGATGTCTTCATTTTGGACAAACCCGTTGTTTGCCTGGCATCCTTTCATCCTTATCTCGATGGAGTCTCTCTTGTTCTTGTCCTCAGCCATGTCTCACCGACTGCTCTCTCGGCGTGCCTTCCTGCCAGGAACCAGGTGGAAAGGTGGCCTGCTGAATGCTTGGGCTTGTTAATGAGCTTTGCAAGGTTTATAAATAAACCGGGCTGGACAAAGTCCAGCTAAGGAAGTAAGGGTAAAGGTAAAAAGGGGGGTTAAAAACATTCTCCTTACACCCGTGAGGCTGGCACAGCTGCGGTGACAGTGTTGAGAGAGCTCAGTCTCGGAATGGGCAGAGACACCGAGAGAATGGGACAACATGGCACGATTCCATTGTAATTTAAGGTGTTTCTTGGTTGAGTACACCAATGTTCATAGCAGCATTATTCACAATAGTCAAAAGGTGGAAACAACCCAAGTGTCGATCAGATGGATGGATTAAAAAAATGTGGTGTATATACACAATGAAATATTATTCGGTCTTAAACAGGAGAGCCTGGTGGCTCGGGACTGTAATGTCAGCACTTTGGAAGGCTGAGGTCCGGGGGAGGGAGTGTGGATCGCTTGAGGCCAGGAGTTCGAAACCAACCAGGGCAACAAACTGAGACTTTGTCTCTCTATTAAAAAAAAAAAAATAGCTGGGTGTGGTGGAACACACCTGTAGTCCCAGTTGCTTGGGAGGCTGAGGCAGGAGGATCGTTTGAGTCCGGGAGTTCAAGGCTGTGGTGAGCCGGGATTGTGCCACTGCACTCTAGCTTGAGTGACAGAGTGAATCCCTGGCTCAAAAAAAAAAGAGTGAAATTCTTACACATGCTACAACATGGATGAGCCTTGAGGACTTAATGCTAAGTGAAATAAACCAGACACAAAAAGACAAATATTGTCTGATTCCACTTAGATGAGATGTTTGATCACAAAGACGGGAAACATAAAAGTGGTTGCCAGATGTTGGAGGAAGCAGATAATGGGATGTTATCTACACTGGGTACAGAATTCCAGTCTGAGATCATAAGAACTATTCTGGAGATGGATAATGGTGATGGTTGCACGACAATGTAAATGTACTTAATGCCACTGAACTTAAAATGATTAAGTTTCTTTTAAAAAGCATAGCGCTTTCTCTTTTTAGCTAGGTAGAAGAAATAAATGCTGAATTTTGCAAGAGGGAACAGGCTTTTCTTTCGTTTTTGTTTCAAAGGTCTCTTCTCTTCCTACAAGTTCCAATGAAAAAGGGTGTGGAGACAGAGAGCCATAGCACTTTGCTACTGAAGTTACTTTTATTAATATTTGATCTCAGTTCCAGCCAACCCTGAAAAGGTCCATGTGCAGGCTCAGCTCCGCCCAGGTGTTCTTCGAAAAGGAAGTGACTATCCATTCTTGGAAGTGTTTCCAGAAAGTGTGGGAAGAAGATTCCATGTCTAGCAAGTTCAAGTGCTTTACTAGATGTAAACAGTCCTTAATGCCAGCACAAAAGAGTTGTTTCATCACCGACAAGTATAAGATACAACAATTATAAGGCTGAAGAAAACAGCGTTCAAGTTAGAGGTGATTTCCTAAAAGGCTCCATAACCCTTCAGAGAATGTGATGATTCATTGATTTCCATTTGATCAGTGGCATTTATATAGCCCTATGAATCATTTGATCAGATAATGAGATTTTTTTTTTCTTTTTAAAGAGGAAAGTTATATGGGTCCCTAATCTTTTTTTTTTTGGTGGAGTGACTTTGAAGCAGTTTATGGCATAGATGAATGAGCTACTTGATCTTGACAAAATTATTTTTTAAAATGAGTACATCCCAGCTGGGCATGGTAGTTCATGCCTGTAATCCCAGCACTTTGGGAAGCCCAAGTGGGAGGATTGTTTGAGGACAGGAGTTCGAGTTCAGCCTGGGCAATGCGGTGAGACCTTGTCTCTACAAAAAAAAAAACAAAGAAAAACTAACTGGGTGTGGTGGCATGCAACTGTAGTTCCAGCTACTCTGAAAGCTGAGGCAGGAGGATAACCTGAACCCGGAAGGTTGAGGCTGCAGTGAGCCATGATGGTGCCACTGCACTTCAGCCTGGGCAACAGAGTGAGACCCCAGACTCAAAAAAAGTAAATCCCAATCCCTGGCTTGCTGAATGCATCCAATAAGTGTATTCAATAGTGACATCTCTCATTATTATTAATTATGCACACAGAGTATTTTTAAAAATCAAAGGAATTTAACTTTTGTGTCTTGTTTTTGCTTTATTTCTCAAACAGATAATGGAAATGTTCACAACAGGAGCTGATTCTTGAAATTCAGTTACTATTTGGGGAAAAACAATGTGTAAAAATAGCAACAATAATGATACTTTGAACTTTGAGCTTCCAGAACATGCAAATTCCAAGCTTTCTAAAAACAACCCAGAATAATGATCTAGTTAGTCTCTGGTGGGAGGATTTTTTTTTAATAAAAGAAATTACAAAAGAAGATTGCTTGAATTGATTGAATAAAATCTTTGAACTTACTATATCAAAAACCTACTAATTAAAGATCATGTGACAAATTGGGAAATATATTTGTATAATTATGCCAAGGAACTTGTCTTTAACAATAAAGATAGGAATATATTGCTATATATTATGTTCCCACATATATAATATATATATATATTTTTTTTTTTTTTCCTTTTTTGAGTCAGAGACTCACTCTGTCACATGTCTAGAGAACAGTGCCTCGAGCACAGTTTATTGCAGCCTCCAATTCCTGGATTCAGGCGATTCTTCCACTTCTACCTCCCCAGTAGCTGGGACTACAGGTGTGCACCATCATAGCTGGCTTTTTTTATTTTTTATTTTTATGTTTTGCAGAGACGAGGTCTTGCTATGTTGCCCAGGCTGGTCTCAAACTCCTGGACTTAAGCAATTCTCCTGCCTCAGCCTCCCAAAGTACTGGGATTACAGGTGTGAGCCAGCATGCCCAGCCTGTAATTTTATATCAATTTTAAAATATAAATGTCAGTAGAAAACTTTGAAAAAGGAATATAAACAGACAATATAAACAAACCAACTCTCTATCATCAGAGAAATAAATAAACATTTTTAATAATGTTGGCAAAAAATTGTTAAAAGGCAGTAGTGCTGGTAAGGAGCTAGTGTAAATGACGCTAATTCTAGAAAGTAATTTAGCAGTGTGAACTGTGAACTTTAACATCTTTTAGGGTGAGGCTAGCCCTATCAGATTTTCTTTGTCCCTTTTTGTAATTTTAGATTTAGGGATACAAGCGCATGTGTGTTACACGGGCATATTGCCTACTGGTTGGGATTGGGCTTCTGGAGTCCCCATTCCCCAAATAGTGACCATTGTACACAATAGGTAGTTCCCACCAGATCTGAAAACAAAAACTCCAGAAAAATAGAGTTGATACTAAAGAAGAGGTCAAAAGATCAATTAAACAGATTGGCATCACCCAAAACAGACTCCAGTATAAAGAAATATAGAAGAGAATTTAAAATATGGCAAGGCAACATTTCAAAGCAGAGAGAAAAAGAAAGATTATTTAGCAAGTAATGTTGGACAACTGGCTAGGTGTTTGGAAAAGAAGATAAAGAAACCTATATAGTTTATCTTATTTTCTCACTCTCTCTTTTTTTCTTTTTTTAGAGATGAGTTATTGCTATGTTGCCCAGGCTGATCTTGAACTCCTGGACTCAAGTCATCCTCCTGCCTCAGCCTCCAAGTAGCTGGGACCACAGACGTGTGCCACACTGCCTGGCTCTATCTTTATTCGTTACATCAAAATAAGTTCTGTGTGGATCAGATTTAAAGGCAAAGATAAAACTGTAAAAATGCCAGACAGAAATGGGTATTTCTTTTTTTTTTTTTTTTTTTTTTTTGAGTTAGAGTCTCACTCCATCACCCAGGCTGGAGTGCAGTGGCATGCTCACCGCCACCCCAGCGTCAACCTGCTGGGCTCAGGCAATCCTTCCACCTCTGCCTTCCCAGTAGCTGGAACTAAGGCACAATATACCATGCCCAGCTAATTTTTTTATTTACTGTAGAGATGAGGTCTCTCCAAGTTACCCAGGCTGGTCTTAAACCTGTGGGTTCAGGCAATCCCCTCACCTTGGCCTCTCAAAGTGCTGTGATTACTGGCTTGAGCCACCATGTTTGGTCAGAAATATGTATATTTTTAAAATAATAATAATTTTGGAGTTGAAAGACTTTTCTAAATAAACTACAAAAAACCCTTAGACCCCATAAATGAAAAGATCAATAAATTTTATTACAAAATTAGAAACAAGCAGATGAATTCACATAGATAAAAGGCAAATGACAAGTTAGAGGAAATGTGTAACATATATGACAAGCTAATTTCCATAATGTAGAAGTTGAATTTAAACATCAACATGAAAATATAGAAAAAGAGACAAAGGATAAAGGCAGATAGTTGACAGGAAAAGATACAAGTGGCTAACAAACATAAGATGCACATTTCACTCAAAGAAATACAAATCAAAATTTAAAGATACTACTTTTTAAAAAATTGAGTCAGTCTCACTCTGTCTCCCAGGCTGGAGTGCAGTGTCACACTCATGGCCACCTGCTGGACTCAGGTCATCCTTCTGCCTCAGCCTTCCAAGTAACTGGAACCACAGGCATGTGCCATCACGCCCAGCTAATTTTTTTTTTTTTTTAATTGTAGAGTCAAGGTCTCGCCAGGTTTCCCAGGCTGGTCTTGAGCCCCTGGACTCAAGCAATACTCTCGTCTCAGCTTCCCAAAGTGTTGGGATTATAGGAATGAGCCACTTCACTAGGCTCAGATTATACTATTTTTAAGCTATAATTTTGTCAAAAAATGAGACAGTTTGGCCGGGCACAGTGGCTCACACCTATAATCTCAGCACTTTGGGAAGCTGAGATGGGAGGACTGCTTGCATCTAGGAGTGTGACACAAGACTGGGCAACATGGCAAGATCTCGTCTCTACAAAAAAAATCAAAAATTAGCTGGGGTTATCCCTAGAAATATCAAAATTGGGAATTTCATGACCTTTGACCCAGAAATTACTCTGCTAAAAATGTATCTTGCAGGTAATCAACAAGATATATGTACAAGGATGTCTACTGCAATAAAATTAGAAAC